CACAGTGCGCGCACACACACACAAACACTCACACACAGGACTAGAAGTTACTCCTTGTTTCCCGGGAACCCGGTAGTGAAAAGTTTTGCCACCTTTCTTTCCACCGTAATTTAAATGAATGCACGGCAAAGTGAATCCTTTTTATTGGCACTCTGGCACCGGGATTCTCGTAATTAGAGACAATGCTATTGTTGACCCTTCACTCGTATCTCCTGGTCGTAGAACACCACCCTCCTTTAAACTTTCATGTACTTTTCCACTCGCGTCGTCCCGGACCGGCGAACATAAAAGGATCAAAGCCCGTAGCAGCCTGGAGGAGCTCGCGAAGCGCCCTCTGCCAGCGACAAAACGCAACTGAGCTCCAGTATCGTCAGGGAGCCAGGGCGGCTCTGAGTTCGTTCGGCCGGTGTTCGGGTCACGTCGGCTCGCCAGCAGCCGGCTGCAGCTCCACCGAAATCCCCTCCATGTGGGGGTCGCTTCCCTCTCCTTAGCTGGCGGTGCTACCAACTCCAGACATTGCCACTGAAATGTCTGGATTGTTTTTTAAAATTAAATCATAACCTCATATTTTAGAAACAAATTCAATTAAAGTTAGCGGGGCTGGGAGAAGAAAGTTAGGGCCTTAAGAAAAAGTTAATTCTTTAAAAAAATATACATATAATATCAAGAAAGAACCAACACTTAATGGGAATCAATTTAAGATTATTTCTGGGTATCTCTGATATTTTATTCATTTTCCTTGAGTATTCTGCAGATACCTTTGGGTTTTATTTGCTTTGTCGGCGCCGTCATCGACATCCCAACCCGACATCCCAACAACCCAATCCCTTCCCCCATCTGCTTGCCAAGTACGCCTTGGAATGCGGAGGTGTTCCAGAACTCACTCCTTTAGCCATTCTTTGGTTGCCAGTAGCTGGAATTATTTTGTCTTACAACTGGTGGAAGGAGCAGGAGAGGATCCAGCTGGTTCCTTGTTTGTAAAAAGGAAATATTTCCTAAATAAGCCGTCTTTTTTTTGGGTCTAGTTGCTAGAGATGTAATTATTTATTATTCCAGTTTCTTTTTGTGATTAAATTCGGAAGAAAATTGAAATTAAATCAATATTTTTAATGGTTTAAGGTCTTTGCCTTCAAGACTAGTCTCTGCTAAAGTCTAGTAAGATTATAATAATAATTTTAGAATATTTTGTTGTAAAGTTCTTGAACGTTATAGGCTTTTGGTGAACTAATTTTAAGTTCCTGGCAGCCTTAACGTGGAAATCTTTACTTTGAAATCGTTTTAATCTGCGAACTAATGGAGATCCTAATTTCTGACTATAACACGAGTCAGAAATGTCCCTCCCATTCGCTTAATAACTAACAGATGTTAAAGCTTCTATAAAAAAATCAAAGAAGACTGTTACTCTTCTTCCAAAGAGGCCTAAACCTTTAACTACCTTTCTGTATCTTCCCCAACCGATTCCCGACGAGCAATTAACGTTGAAAAAATCCCAGAGCTGGGGCAAGTGGCAGACGGCAGGTGGCAAGAGGCTGGCTGGTAGTGCATCTCAAGAGGCCCTGGCTGGCTGACTGCCTCGAGTGGCGAATAAGCTCCCCGTAAACGGAAAAGACAAAGGAATCCCGAATCCACTGGAGAATCCAGTAACTTTGAGGCTCAAACGCGAAACAAAGTGAAAAGCTGGAGAGGATGAAAAATAAAGGTCGTTGTTTATTGATTGCGAAGTAAAAGCAGCCATAAAAGACGTAAGAACCAAGACCCCCAGAATGGCAAACAAAACAAAGTCAGAAAAGAGAGCAGCCAAGAATTGGCACAGGCCCTTGAAAAAGTTGTTCTCGGTCTGGTCTGGGGCCTGGTCTGTGGTCTGGTCGGGGGTCTGGTCGGGGGTCTGGTCTGTAAAGCCCACGCAAATGAGGCAAGAAGACACTGAAGAGGGCACCAGACAAGATGATGATAATTGCAACTTTTGATTATGATGAACCTAACAAGTGCAAGTGAAGAAATTAGCAGATATGTACGAATTACAGAGACCCCAAGCTGAGAGCTGGACGCTAATTATAAGATACTTCCAACAAAGAATATAAAGAACTATAAAAATAGGACTATCATAAAAGATAGATATAGATAGATAGATATAGCAGGCCATAAAAATAGCCCTACTATATCTATTTCTAGAACTTGAAAGCGGAATATGGTTCTTTAATTTCGAAATCAATCATTTTTGAAGAGACATCTGAAGAGCCCTTGCCTTCAACGCCAGACAGATGTCTAAAAAGTTTTAATTCATTTTATTATATTAATAATTTCTGCCGCATGCCGCATAAAAGTTGAATTTTCAATGAGAACATCTGCTTATCTTTCTCGCTGGAGTCCCACCTCCTGGTCTTTCCTGCCTGCCAAATGGCATCTGTTGGCCAAACCGATTCAGGGCAGAGATTCGAAAATAAAGAAGGGGCTCTGGCGAAAGGGGCTTTGGAGAGAAAGGCAGAACGCTGCTGTGTCAAGCATCGAAAATGCGGACTGGACTGGAGCTGACTCATTGAACCACAAGATGAATACAAAGATGCCAAATCAACTCGAACGAACGAGTTTTTGCGGACTGGCCCCCCAGACTTTTCCGTCCGTTCGCTCAACCCCTCTTTACCCACTTCCTTTGCAGGTCAATTGCATCCCAGTCCCAGTCCCAGAAACAGTACTCGAAGCCAAAGCGACATTTGAGTTTTCCACTTGGGCCTAAACGTGCAACGTGCAACGTGCAGCAACGGTGGAAAAGTCTTGTTTTCTGGCCAAGTGCGTGCAGCGTTTGTCAAATTGCCAGTCAAGAGTTTCAAGGGGCCCCCAACGGATTTGGCCACAATCCCGAGCACATCCCATAGCTCCAACGGTAGTTGACAAAAGCCATCCAACCAACCAACCAGTAACCGACCAGGAACGTCAACCAGGCCATGGTAGCACCAACAACATCAACAATAACAACCGCAACATTTGTAATGGAGATTCCTGCATTGAAATCTTGTTTCGTTTAGTAGCAGTTTGGGTTTTGTTTTGGTTTTTACCCTACCAAGGGGTATTACGTATTTAAGACTCATTTCTATAATCAGAAAAGGAAGCTCAAATAATTAATGTGTTAAGAAAGGGTAAAAGAACTAACTATTTTGTCTAGAAAATATAAACGTAACAAGCATTCCATTCTAAAACAAAGGTTTTCTTTAAAAACGTCATTAACCCTTGGCTACACCTGTTTCTTCATCCAAAAATAATCCATGAAAGGGTATCAACAGCTGCACTTGTTCCTTCCTTGTTTTTTGTTGGTTTAATTTTTTGTGGTAGATTGTTGTTGGTTTTTTTGTTGTTTTTTCCAGCTGTTGACTGCAAGTGGCAGAGCTTTTGTTGGTTTTATTGGGGGCTTTTGTTGTCGCTGGTGTAACTGTTGCGGTTCCGTCCTCGTCATCGTCCATCCGCATCATCCCCAGGCTGGAAGGAAGTCAATGAACCGGCCAAGTTTGCGAGGCAGCCGGCGAAAAGAGCTTTTCAGCTCCATTGGCCCACCACTTGACCACCAACGACGAGCGACGATTTCGAGGCCATTACATTTGATGATCGATCGATTGTTATGATTATAGAAATATTCAAGTATCTTGGGCCTCCTCCCTGACACCTAAATGGAATGCCGATGCAAATGAGGCGAATGATTCGGATGGGAGCCAACGTGCCCTGGCATTCCCGATTAAAATGGCTAATGTTTATAAATTGCAAATTAGCCCCAAAGCCCCAAGTTCCAAGCTCCAACAAAATAGCAAATAGAGTCACCATCAAGCATGTGAACCGATATGGGGCTGGGGTCTCGACATCTCTCGTGTCTAGATCTTAATCGGGCTAGTGCGAATAACTAAATCCAACGATCCGACACGCAAAAAACTAAACACTCGAATGGATAGATTTATTTATGTATGTTCTTGGGAACCTGCGATTTGGAATGCATTGAGAGAAATAAGTGCTTTTAGTAGAGATATATTATTGATTGAAAAATATTAGATGAAAAAACAAAAACCTCAAGCTACCAATTAGCACCTGGGCGTTGTAAAAACAACGAGCCACACCTGAAGGTGCTTAGTATGGGAGATTTTGTGGACTAGTCCGTTTGGTTTGGGGTTCAAGAACAGACAAGGAGAGAACAAACACTTGAGAAAGAGATGGATAGAATGGCCAAATAAACAAAATAAACACTAGAACAGAATAGAAAGCCAACCCCACTACTCGTCAGAGAAAAGTGAAACAACAGCAACACCACTCACAATGAAAAAATCAATTTAAATTGAATTATACAATGCCAACAACACACAACACACAGGGCACACAAATAAAAGCGAATTGCATGCCACAACAGAGGCACAAACGGGTTTCGCTCCTCGGTTTCGGATCTGATCTGAAAAGATTCTCAATGAATGGGCATATAAAGTAAGCGCAAGGCGGGCTAAATAAAGATGAGCTGCATAAATTAAAGAAGCCACCAGCCGACTTCTCGATATCTTTAGCCAAAGGGGGGATCTGGCCCAGTGGCGGATTCTAAGGATTTCCAAAACGATACCATTTTAAGATTTTATTAATATCTTATTTAAAAATATAATATAAATATTCTTATAAATATTAATCCTTAGTCTTAGAATTTATTAGTTACTGGATATATATTCTTGGTTCTTCAGCAACCCCCATTGCTTACGCCTCTGCTCCCCCCCACCTGTTCCGTTTTCTGCTTCCTCTTGCGATTGCAATTTTGTAACAATTTGTTAAGGAGCGCCAGACGTCTGCTCCGATTTTATTTTCTTATTTTTTCTGTATTTTTGGCCATCTTGACTCGAGAGACAGGCAGATCGGCAGTCTCAGGTGTGAGGTGATTGGCTTAAGACATCATTTTATTGGTTTCGATTAAAGTTTCTTCAATGAAAACCATTACAACAGGATAAGAAAATATTTTTTAAGAAAGTAATTTTCCATTTTCTCACCTTTTTTGAAACCAGATTTTGTTAATAACTTTTTTCAGGCAAACACACACACAGATACCAGGCGGTGTTTACTTTAATCCTTAAAAGGAGCTCACAAGAACACGCGTATTCTCTCACCCACGCTAATGATAATTAATTTTTAATAATTATATAGATTTGTTAAATTTTACATCAATTATATTTGATTTTTTAGCCAAGATTTTATTTAAATTTTATTGAGTTTTTATTGTTTAGTTAGCACTTGGGTTATGGCTTAAAATTAGCCTTTGCGAATCAATAAATACGCGACGCGCTGTTGTCGTTTCGTTTCTGAACTAAAAAATCATATTTCCACCTCTTTTATTTCACTTTAAGAAGCTTTCAGGCTTCTCATATGTTTATAAATAAAAAAATAAATAAATTAAACTAATTATCCTTTGACAATTTAATACTTTTAGCGAGAGCTCGCGTTGTTGTTGCTCCGGAGTGTTTATTTTTTTTGTCAGTTTTTTTCTTTTGCATCCGAGATGGCGATGCCACACTAGTTACGGTGCGACATCTGGCAACCTCGACAAATTTAAACATTTATGGCGCTTATAATAAAAACAGAAATTTACCCAAGAAATCGAACCATAAAATTTAACTTTTCACTGTTATTATTACAAATCCTTAATAAAATAACAATAGAATATAATTTTAAGACGTGCAAACATTGCCGGTAAAAAACATGCTTTACAAGTCTTTAAACTATAAACCTACGACATCTTAAGATTTAAAATATTTATATATTTACCATTTGCTAAACAACACACTAAAAGCTATTACTAAAAATTTAAAATTTAAATTACATCTTTACCCTGACACCCCTGCAAATCAGTGCTATGAAACCCTCAAAACTCCTGCATCAGAGGGGGGACTCCTCTACGTCACAAAATATCTGGCCACTTTAAATGACCTTTCGTGAGGGATGAAACTTTCACCAGAGATGTCACTATCGAAGCTTTCATTAGTAATAGCTATCGGTAACGTTTATTTGTACGTTTATTTGTAAATACGAGGCAACATCTACAATTCAACTTTCCATTTAAATCTCCAAGTTACTTCGATGAAATAATTCAAATGTCTTAAACTTCGTTTTTATCCGTAATTTCTTCCGTGGCGCGTACAACGGGTCGGATCATCATGCGCGAGCTCCTGGTTCCGGATTGCCCGATCCCTGATACCCAACCAGGCCAAATGATGGCTGTTTGGTGGTCTTCTTGGTGGCCATTCAAATTAGACTCTGTGCATTCGTTGAACCACCAACCGCCGCCGTATAACTCACTGCAGGAGGCTCCTACCCGGGAGAGATCACTCCGCCGATCATGGGTGCTGAAGTCCACCTGATTGAGCAACTCCAGGGCATCGTCCAGGGTACCCCGGAATCCACCGTCCACCGTCAACTGATAGTTGTACGCCTCGCTGTCCAATCGAAATAGTGAATACTCGGCCCAGTCACTGTATTGCTGCTTGTCTCCATCCGTCAGTTCCACTCTAAGTTCGTAATCGTCCCGGTAGAGAATCTTGTGTGTAAATTCGTTCCCAAACCAAAAATCACCGGACAAGTTGCCGAAACCCGCACGATACTCTTCCCAGGTGCGTTGGAAGTCCTCTGGTGGATCGGAGAAACCCCTTTGCTGAATCACCGTCCAGGCGGGTCCCTCACTGGCGAAGAAGCAGTACCTCTCATAGAAGTCCCTCTGGAGTTCATTGGTATCTGGTTCTAGAAATCTATAAACGCCACTAATGCGCTGCTTCTCATCCAGTTCATGGCAATCGGATTTGTTGGCCTGGTGGAAGTCTGGACATGGTTTCAGGTGAGTTGGACGTATTTTTTTGGGGGCAGAGGTCACTTGAAGAATAAAACTTACCCACTGGTAGGGAAGGTTCGAGGTCGGGTAGCATCTCTTGGTTAACTTCACTCGTGGTGTTTTCGGGGGTTCAGAAACCCCTCTTCCACAGGCCATCAAAAAACCTTCTATCCTCTGAAGTATAGCTGTAGGTCTTTCTTCCTCTTTAAACTTTGCAAGAACTTTCTCCAGGAGGTCTTCTCTGGAGCTCCTTCCCTCCTGCTCGGCTAGGAAAAGGACCTTGCTTAGAACCAGGTCTAGATTGGTTTCCAAAACTCTTAGCTTGTCGGTATGTTGGTCCAATGTCTCCTTAATGGAAGCTAGTTCCTTTAACCTTAACTCCAAGCCGAGATCCCGGCTCGCCTGATGACTCTGGCCAAAAAAGGCACAGCTCCAGGCCAGAAGAAACACCAAAGAAAGCTGATTTTTTAAAGAACTCTTTAATACTCTTTGGCTTTAGAAGAAGACTCATCTTCCCATCTTACCCTCATTCCAATTCCAAGTCGAATAACCAACTAATGAAGTCACTCCACCACATGCTTCAAGACACCATCCAAGTCCCTCCAAAGTCGACATCTGGTGGTTGTGTAATTTTTATGAATATAGATTTCTGTATTTCTGCGCTCCTTGTATTTGTTTTTCAAGAATTAACGAATGAAACATGTCGCTAGCGTGTATATTAAAAAAAACATAAATTGAATAAACATTTTTTCCCGGACATAGCCGCACTAGGTTTTTTTTAAAGGTTTTTAGTTTTTTTGTTTTTTTTTTTTTTTTAATTTTTAATCTCTAGAATTAGCAACTAACTTTTAAAGATAGAAATGAAAAACGCCTAGGCAACTAAAAAATACATATACATACATATATCGCTCAACCGCCCCTCCTCCTTGGATTCCTCTCTATACATTTACATTTTGATAAACTTTAAAATATAATAATATATATATATATAGTAAGAAATACGGGTCTAGACCCTAGAGGCCAGGGGGATAGCTGGATCAATTTACAGATAACGCTTCATTTATATCGTTTGTGTGGTGGTGCTGCAGGTGCGAATACATTTCAAATCGCGTCTCTCGCATTTACATTTAAATGTATGCTTTTAATATATATATATTTACTGTGTATTTGTGTTTATATATATATATATAGCGTATGTTAAGGTTAACTTAGTGTTTTTATTATCGAAGCACTTTGGCTTGAAGCCCAAGTGGGTTGTGGGGTTGCTTAATCGAAGGTTTTCTGCATCCTATATCATATAACTATATCTTTACGAACCAAACACCATCATCAGGCGGATGGACTCTATCTCTACGTCTTCTTCCGATTAGTTAACATTTTTATCAAATAACTGCCTTAGCACTAGGGTCTATCTTGTATATTTACATAAAATATTTCACGAGTGTTGCTCTTGGGTTGTTTTCACTTCTTTTTTTGTTTTTGTTGTGTATGTGGTTTGTAGAACTAAATAACTTAGAAAGATTACTTAAAGTAGGCAAAGTTGTGGTGGTGGTGAGTTAAACAATTCCATTTCGAAAACAAATTAAAAAATTGATGCTCTGCGCCGGCTGGTCAGTGTTTCCAGCAGCTTGTGGTTCTCTGGTGTTGAATGTTTTTTTAAAAAAATTAACGAAAATATGAAATAACGAAATCGATAGTTAGTTGCTTTGGGTTCTGGGTTCTCCATCTAGACACGCCGGTTGCGAACGCCGTCGGTCCGGTTCCTCCATTCCGGATCATTGGGGTCGTCGTCCTCAAACGGATCGTTGCCCAGATCCTCATCGAGTCCCTCCTGATCCCCCAGATAGGCCTTGATCGCCTCATCGTACACATCCTGCTCCCCATCGGGTGCCGATTGCTGCTCATCGTCCAGCGGCACCAAATGATGCTTGGGATAGTCATCGTCCTCCTCCTCCAGCAGCAAATCCTCCTCCTCTGGCTCGGACACTTCACCATCCTTGCCAACACCATTGCTCTTTGCAGCCGCTGGGTGTCCATTGATCTGCCCGTTCAGCTTTGTCTTCGTCTTGCTGCTACGCCGGCTCCCCCCCTTGCTTCCAGCTCCTTGGGAGCTGCTTCCGTCGCAGTTCGAGGATACTGACTTGCTTTTGGCTCGCTTCGAAGCAGTCAAGTACCTGGGTGTGGCATAGGTTTCCTCCAGCATCCGCTGGTACACCTCCTCCGACAGCGGAAACTGCAGGGGCTCGAAGGGTGATGGTAGCATCATCGCATAAGCCTACAAGGATAACATAAGGGGAGTTAGGAACTGATCTAATGAACTATGTCGTGTGCTCGACTCACCTCCCTCAAGTCGGGCGTGGTGCTGCGCCGCTCCGCCTGATCCTTCAGCTTGCTGGAGGTGGTTCGGCGGCGATTGGGACGCGACTTATCGCTTATCAGCTCGCCGCTCTCGTTGAAGCCCTCTAGCGGATGGGCCAGTGGCGAGGGGATGCTCTCGTTATCCAGGTTCCCAGCGCCAGCCGGTGCCGGAGAAGCGGGATCCGGTGTGTTGGCACCACTCGACTCGGCGCGACTATCAATCCGCCGATTCGCACGCGGCCGTGGAGTCCAGGGAAACTTCAGAAAGGTTTCGTAGCGTTGACGCTCCTCGAGCATAGCCAGATGGTGTCGCGCAATGAACGCCTCATCGGAAAGGTCCTCCATCTCAACGTCTTCCTCGTTCTCTTGTGGCTTCGGGTCCTCCGGCTTACTGTCCAACGTCTCCAAAATCTGGCCATTTGCCTTCTCCAGCTTGGGCCGTTTGGGCAGTGGTGGCTCCTCCTCGGCCTCAGCACTCGGAGTCTTTGTGATTTTTCCATTCAGCTTTGGCTTCTTTGCGGGCTCCTCCTTTGGAATTACCTCGTCGTCCTTCTTCTCGGGTATCGTCTTCTCCTCCAACTTGGTCTCTTCTTTGCCAGCATTTCCATTCACCAGGCCATTCCTGTTGTTGTTTACGTTTGTGTTGTTGTTATTATTGTGCTTGACTGCCGCCTCCTGCTTCTGCTTCTGTCGCAACCCATTGACCTTCGGAGGCTGCTCGGCCGCCGGCTGCTGCTCCACCTCGGGTACTTGTGGCTGCTCGGCCTCTGTCTGGCCATTGCTGAGCTTGCTCTCGGCTGATGACTCATCCGTCTGTGCCGACTGCTTGGCCTTATCACTATCACTGTCAACAATGCGCCACCTGAAAGCGATAATGTATGTGGGATGTAGTAGGCGTGCGTTTCAAAACAAAACTTTTTTGTACTTACTTGGGTGTAGGTATCTCTTTGTAGGGCAGGATCTCCACTCTGGTCTGGGCTGCCATGCTATAAGGAATAACGATGTTGTCGATGTCGTAAACAGGACGAATGCGTCGCTCCGAAGATCTGCAAGGAAGTCAAGTGATATTAAATACCAATCTGGAACAACTCTGACAAGATGTGTCTACCTTTCGTTGCGATGGCTGTGGGATGGCGAAGAGTTGCGACGACTCCTACTGCTGCTGCTGGTGTGCTGATCTCCATACCGATCCCCGTAGCCATTTAGATGATAGTTGTTGTGCTGGTTGGAATTGCTGGATGTGGTGGTGGTGCTGTTGGTGGATTTGCGGGATTTCTTAGCGCCGCTAGTCGTGGCCGAGATCGAGGTTGAGGAGGGACTGTGGTGGCGTTGTCGTTGGCGTTGGCGAGAGTCTGTCCACGGCGAGCTGGAACTGTTCGTTCCAGTTGGGTTTTGTGATTGTTGTTGCCTTTTGCCCGTGCCCGCTGTTTAATCCGTAATCCATGCCAGAAGTTATAGGGAGTGCGGGTTCAAGATAAAGAACGGAATGGCAAAATAAAACAATTGATGGAGGATTTGTAGAAGTTGGTTGGTTGATGTTGTTGTGGGTGTCGGTTGTTGTTGTTTTAATAATATTATTATTAATATTATTATCAATTTTTTTATGGTTCGTGTAAAGAAAAAGAAGAAGAAGAGATGCAAAAGATTGTTGTTGTTTTATGTTAATAACAATTATCGAATTTCGTCATGTTTACAATAATTTACTGTTGGCCACAAGTGGCGTTGTAGTAGGCGTAGTAGAAGAAGAAGAAGTAGTAGCAGTACCAGTACCATTTCCGCTATCCCCTCCCCCGACGCCAACGCCTCCTCCTGTTGCTGCTGCTCCTCCGGCTGCTGCTGCTCCTCCGGCTGCTGCTGCAGATCCACTGCCCGCATCCTTATTTGAGTTATTGTTGCGCTCCTTGCGTCGAATATATCGTCGCTTGACTCCATCGCCCGATCTTCGGCTACCGGCATGTCCGCCAGCACCGCCGCCAGATGCCACCGCCTCGCGCTCCGCCTTCCACACGCTCTTCGCAATGGCCTTGGCCTGGCTGCGCATCACCCGGTACTGCCAGTCCGGCTGGCGGGCAATGGCCTCCAAGTGCACGCTCTGGCTGACATCTAGAATGGATTAGAGATTTGGTTATAAATTCAAGAAGCTATCAGTTCATAGAAGCTATCGAAACAGTCAAGACTATAAATTTTAGACAAAAATTGTATTTATTTCGCTTCTCCGAACTCCCCCCCAACCGAATCTGGAACTCACCGCTGGCGAAACTGAGCACTGGATGGTAGCCAGGATCTAGCAGCGCCACCCTGTTGGCGGGCATCATCGTCTCGACCAGCTCGCGCGGTGCCGTGGGATCCGCTCGCCCGGTGCACAGGGCGCAGGGGACATGGGGCCACTGGCAGCCGCACTTGATGTTGCTGGGTCGGGCGGCCTTCTTCGAAAAGGCGTGCATGTTGGTGGTCTGGAAGAGCTTGCGCTTCCGGAACTCGCTCAGCACCAATGGTCGCGCTCGACTGCATAGCCAGTCGGACGATGTGGCCTCTTCTTGATGATTTGCAGGTGGTTCAGGCTCGACTTCGGACTTGTCCGTCGGCACCAGCTGCACCTGACCCTTGGACTGAGTTAGCTCCTGGTAGAGGTCGCCGTGCTGTCGGATTTTCATCTCCAAGTCGGTCAGCTGGGCGCACAGCCACGACCAGCGCAGGGCGATGGCGGCCCGATCCCTCGAGTACCTCCAAACGGCACGTCGGGAGCTGCAATCAGAAGAAAGGGTTAAGAGTTTAAAGTCAAAGGTTACATAGATACATATTTTTGTTCTCCCCAGGTTATCGGACGAGATTCCTATCGATCCCCCTGGATAATTCGATAAAAAAAAAAAGCTGACAGCAAGCCTAACAACACATTCGACTCGGAAGCACTTCGACTGAGCATCAAGTTGGAATATATATTCAAAATAAAACTAGAAGGAGGAAGGAAGGTGGAGCTACTTACATGGAAAGGGAACGCTGATGGGTGTTGTTGTAGGTGACCATTTCATCGGCGGACTCGCCACCTGAACTCGACTCCGTGGCGTCCGAGTCAATGGCGTTCTGGACCTCGCGCAGCTCCGTGTGCAACAGCCCGGCCACATGGGTAAGTTCGCTGGTCACATAAGTGTCATAGTTGGGCACTATATCGTCCGCCCGCGGCACATGCTGTTCCACAACGGAACTGGATGCTGCCGTCGTCGTCGTGTTTCCTATCGTTCCAGCCGGTCCGGTTGCTGTCACATCCAGCTGATTCTTTCGAGGGCGCTTGCCCGGAACCGTGGAGCTATTGGAGCTGTTGTACCAACTGGACGAGGGCGCCAGCGTTGCCGAACTGCCACTGGTCGAGTTGCAAATCTGCTGGTGCTTGGCGGCTGTCGCAATATGGCGAATCAAGCTTCCCATCTGGCTGGCCGGCAACGGATGCTTCTTCTGCTCGTCCCAGAAGGAGACGCCTGGTCGGCCGGATACAATGGATTGAACCGTCGCCTCCTGCTCCGACAGCGTGGAACTCCGCACCGGGTTGGGAGTCTTGTGAGAGGATCGAGCGGACCATTCGAATATGCCGGCTACCTCTTCGCTGGTGTGTCGGCACATCTGGCGCGCCTGGTACTTCCGCATGCGTCGCAGCAGGAAGTCGATGCGCCGGGAAATGACATGCTGCTGTTGCTCCAGCTCGGCGTGGCTCTCCTGCCAGGGCCGGCCGGGCTTTGCCGGCGCCTCGACCTCGATCACACTGGAAATGCTGGGTTTGGGGTCCACGGCCAGTTCCTCCGGAAGGTTGGCCGGTGCCGTTGACGCTAACGGCGCGGCTGGCGCCGCCTCCTCCCACACATCACTAAAAAACTCGCAGATGGCATCCGGATTAACGTGACCGCCGTCAAAGGTCTTCAAGGCCTTCAGAACCTCCTCGATGTCCTGGTCCTCTAATACCTCGCCAGCAGCTCCGTCCTTGAGGAAGTTAATCGAGCTGGCGGTACTCTGGGGCGTCAACTGTTGGTGGCGCTGCTGCTGCGGCGATTCCAACTGTTGCTGCATTTGCTGCTGGGGCCGGCTGGGCGTGCTCGGCGCGGCCGGCTCCTGTACGATCGGCGGGGGCGGAGGCAGCTGGGCAGCCAGCTGCTCCACGGGAATCCCACTGGCGTTGCCATCCAACTGACTAAGGCGTTCTGAAAACAAGCAGGCCATGGAAATCATTGAAACGGCATGTAAGTTGGAATTGTCGCTAGTCACTCACCCTCCAAGTTATCGGTTTCTATCTTTGGCAGCTCCTCCACGGCAGGGATCAGTAACTGGCCAGCCACTGCCACTCCTCCTCCGGACTCCTCCGAACTGGCACTCGTGACAGCGGTCGACGTCGCCGGCTCCTTGCCCAAACTGACCTCGGGCAAGGTCTTCCTCAGACAGATCTCCGCGGACAGGGTCTCCTCGAAGTTGATCGTCAGATCCGCCAGAAGCTGCGCCGTCGAGTTGTCCTTCAGCGGGCTGGTGCTGGTGGAATTGGCAGCGCTGTTGATGCTGTCGCTGGTGGAGGCCACCACGGGCTCTGCAGCAGCAGCAGCAGCCACTGTGGTGCTACTGCTGTGCGGATTGGGGGCCGTACTCAGGCCCATTGTGTCGTTAGTCGACTTGATGCTAGTTGATTTTCGTTTGTTGTTGTTGTTGTTGTTGATCACAAGCGGTGATCGCTGCTGGGCAGCTGACGCCGAACGGGTGATCCGCGTCGTGATCGTGGCCGTGGCCGGTATGGGCGTCGATGGCTTCTTGGCCAGGCCCGTAGCACTGCCGATGCCTCCTCCGCCGCCGCCGCCGCTGCTGTCTCCGCCAGAGGAGGAGGAGCTGCGGATGGAGGCCGAGGGCGAGGCGGTGCTGATGAGCTTCTCCTTGGGACTTAGTGGCTCGGCTGTGAGCGCTGGTGCCATCGTTGTGATTTGGGCATTTGGGTTGCTCCTCGCTCGCTAGAATCGCTCGGAATCGGAATCTCTTCACTTGGACTCTACGCTCGAAGGGCTAATCCTGGACAGGTCGCTTCAGAAACGAAATGAAATGCGAGGTGAGGTGATTTATTTGCAAAATCGACGTTTTGAAGGCAAACCATAGGCTCACTGGTTTTGAATATTTTTTGAAAACAAAACACCCAAGCTACTAGACTTAATTCCATATATATATATTTTTTAATTATTCATTAAATACAGTATTTGTTACAATTAGTTTTTTTCATGAAAGAGCTTATTGTTTGGGAAGTCCCTTGCGGTTTGAGAATGAGATTCAAACGCCGCATCGTTTTTTTTTTTGTATATTTTAATGTTTTATCTCGTTTCAGCAAGCCCGCCTCCTCCAAAATCGAATAAAAAAAATCTCAATTCGTTATTTCTTTTCCGGCGTGTTATGTACGGAATGGCCCCACACACACACACACACACACACACACATGCAGAAAGCGCGCTATTGCACACAATGATGCGCAATAAAAAAAAACTGTATAGAACACACACACACACACACTCGGCCTAGCAGAAGCAGACAGAAAAACGCACACATTTCCTACTACATACTGACGAAATCCTAGAGAGTGCTCTCATCTCGCAACGTAAATCACAATTTTTCGAAAAATTTGCATCATCATAATATTGAAAATTGGCGGGCGAGCCTCCCGCCATGCGTGCCAGCCTACCATGTTTTTATGTAATTTCGTTTATTGAATTTTTTTTTCGACGGCAATTAGTAGCGCGCCTTTACAACACCAACACCAACAAACACTCACACATACACGACCAGTGAGCAGTGACCAGGCGTGCGACTGTGTGCCTCACTATTTTCAGTTATTTACACAATCTCATTGCAGTATTACCCCATCGCCTTTGTTAGTTTCGTGTGTATTACAGCCCAATATATGCGCTCTGAATAATTAAATTGCCATTTTTCCGCGAAACGAGAACGAAAAATGGTTTTCAGCGCGAAAGTATTGTCCAGTACACACACTAATACCACCACACACTCACACAGCACACAGCAGACACATGCACATGCCCACATTCACCGCACGCAAGAATATTTTTCGTGTAATTTTTGTCGGAAAATTAAATATATTTTATTCTCAGTATACGCACAATGTTCACAGTGGTTTTATTATTTGCTTACACAATGGCGGATTGGAATTGTACGGTGCTCGCTTCACGGTTTTTCCTCCTCATTTAGTTTTTTCATTGCTTTACTGCTGCCCTGCTACGCTTTTAGCAAACGACGTGTATCGAAGCTGTACTCGTTTCGTTTTCGATTTCGACCAAAGTACGCATGTCGCCCAGCTAGTGTTCTCGCTCTCGCCCATGTCTTTTCAAAGGCAATGGCGTATCTGGTTGGGTGTGCGAGCAGTACAAATAGATGGGGTTTTCGCTATATTTTGGCGTAAGCCAACACTGGCCACACTACCAAAAAATGCAACCCTGGGGGGTGGTTCGATTAATCTGTTTTGCAATATTTGTAATATTTGCGTGCAATTTTGGTTTAGGTGTTCTCTGTGGATTTGTGGGGTTCTATGCGCATTATGAACTATCAGAACACTAAACTAAAATAATAATGATAATGTCTTGTAAATTAGCGACGAATTTCGAATCTTGAAAAACTTGCAGCAGCAATTTCTTGGGATGGCGTAAATTCCGCCTTTTCTATTATAGATTTAGGGCTGCCCTTGGTCTGGAGCCAGTGCTTCCTGCAAGAAAGTAGTGCTAATTGGTTTCAGTTAAATATATCAGAAATGTTACATTTCGTTTAGCTGGGGCAAGGGGCCCTCTAGTTGTCCTTTGACAGTGCCCTCTTTGGTGTTCATGCACCATCCTTTGAGACCCAGTTTTTGAGCTGTTTGCTCCGTGTACTAAAATAAAATTTCAGCTTTTAAAGGTCTAAGTTTTGTTAGCTAATAGAACTTACCTTGCGGAAGAACACACCTGAAAAGAATAAAATATAAATAAAAAAATTCAAAACCTGCAAAAGTTCATACCTTGAACTCGTCCAAAAACCTCGAAATTGCAAGCAAAGAGCTTCTTGGCACTTCCGGATCCGGCCATTGCGACGTCCTGATCGTAGATTTTCTCCGAGCTTAAACTGTTTACTCCTAGATATCTCAATAGAGACAGTAATACAAAAATTCTGACAACCAAAATAGATTCACATTGCAATGCCATAGTGACCGCTCGTAGTAAGACCGTAGACAGTGCGCTAAAAATATACCATTATGATATTCAAAAATTTTAAAATAAGTTTATACAAAAGAGTGTTTTAAATATTTAATAAAAAATATATATTTTTATTAAAAAATACAACTCAAGTATAGAGTTATTTGTTCTTATATCAGACATCGAGCCAAGTAAAGCCAATCGAAAAGAACAACGGTATAAATATAGTAACGATAAACAATTTCAAAATTCTCAATATTTCAGATAAACGTTACAGAGCTTTAATCTCTTGAATTACACTTAACTGATTTGGAAAGCATACCAAATTAAAAACAAGTAAAAACATTAAACAAAACTAAGTCTTGATGGCTCTGATTAGCTGGCCCAGGTCGGTCGGGTCCACCACTGCGTCCATCTCCATGCCCGCATCCTCCATGGCCTTTCTGGTTCCCGCTCCCACGGCTATTAGCTTGCGATCCTTGAGCGAGACATTGTACTTCTCGAAAAACTGAAGGGAGCACCGGACGCTGGAGGGACCAAAGAAGACAATGGTCTCCATGCGCTTGTACTTCAGAGCGTGACGCATCTGCTCAGCGAAATCTGGATGAGACTGACTCTCGTAAACCTCGCAGGCATCGACCCGAAAGCCCTGAGCCACCAATCGCAGCCGGAGCGTATGTCCGACTCCATTGCCACATGGCATCAACAGGGGAAGATCCCTCTTGGGTCCGAATGTCTCCACAATCAGATCACACAGGTTATGGGCGTTGGCGGCATGATCACCCATAGTGGGCAGATTTTGAAAGGTAAACCAGGCCGAGCTGTGGGTGCGGTTTCCCAGGGAGTAATTGTGTAAAGAGCGCCAGCAGCTGGGCAGGGGATTCCTGTCTAGCGCTTCGTGTACCGCCTGGACACACCGAGGTGCGGGAAAGATAATCCCAGCATATTTGTGCGGTTCCATGAGCTTGGCCCGCAGCATCCTTAAATTCTTGAACACAAAGTGCGAGGGAGCTATGAAAATCGGATCCAGGTTGTGGTTACGCATCGTCGGACCATACAAATCATCTGCAGTTGGGGCTTTCAGCAGGATTACAGATCGCTTACTTCGCTCCGACATGGTCATAAATAATTTATTAAAACCAAATAGATATGGTGAAAGATTCGTTTGCTTGTGCTTTTGAATTCAGTAAGTTTATGAATAAAATGCCTCGCTTACTATAAGTTTTCAAAACAAAAATATTTCAGTATTCCAATAAAACTTTTTAAATAAAATACATAACCATTTGAGATATATATTAGGACTAAAGTACAAAGAAGTAAATTGGAGACCACATCCCAAGAAAATGATTCCCAAAATGGTTTTGGAATGTTATCACATAGATGGCATCTCGTTGATTTACAATTTGAATCAATTTTTTATAGAAAACAAGCATTATGGAGGACACTAAGTAAACGTAAAAATAGCAAGTACAACAATGGTTTTAATTTTAATTCTTTTAAACCGCTCCCATCTGAAGAATTGGAGTAAATAGTTTGTAGGCTTTTTCGATGAATTGTGCTGCGGATAGCATTTCGGCAAAGAAGGTGCTGACTTTGGCCTTAGCCTCATCCTTATCCGGCTTGCTGCTCAGCACGGCAGCGTATCTGTGACTGAGTCCTTGAAGGTGGCCGTTGAACTGCTTGCAGAGATTAACGACCCCATCCACCTCGTTGGCTGTGCTATGATGCGGCTTTACCAGCAGCAGTTCGGCTATCTTGTGCAGCTTGCAGATTTCCAGGGCGCAGGCTTCACTCAGAGCATGGATGCTCTTGGCATACGCCTGCTCCAGATCGGCAGAGGTGGCCTCCTCGGAGTTAAGCCATTCCAGGGACTGCGACCAGTGTCTATGAAGTAAAAACAACATTAATTTGGTTGAATTTTATAGACGCCAAAGACTACTCACTTGACCACATCCTCGAACTTAATTCCCAGCTCCGCATCTGCTATGGTGCCCTCCAGCCGTTCGCCCAACTCCTCCGCATCGTAGTCCCCCTCGCTCTCGCACTCAAGGTCCTCCAGCTCGAGAAGTTCCTTCACCTCGTTGATTGTTTCCTGCAGTTCTGCGAGGGCATTTCCACTGACCGCCTCCAATAGGGTTTCCAGCTTAAGGCACGACTCCTTGGAGAGGATTTCTAGTGCTTCAAAGTGGACCAAGCCGCAGTAGTTCTCGAATAGAATCTCAAATCGCAGCTGTGCCTTCTGTTTCTCTAGCCTCAGCTGCATTAGCGATTGTTCCATTTGGTCTGCATCCTTCTTTGCCTCCAGCAGTACCGCACTGAGATTGGGTTTGTTGGCCTCCAGGCCAAGGAGTTTTCTCTTGTTCATCAGCTTGGGGTCGTTGTCCTGCAAGATGGTCATTGTTTTCTTTCCAATTCCCTCGAGGGTATCCAGCCCCGTGTTAAGAACCTTCGAGCCGAGATTGGTGACGAAACCAAGACCGAAGGCTGGTGTAGATTCGTCATCTTCCGGATTTTCTTCTGGCGTATTAGCTGGAGTTTTACTCTTTTCTGTGGCAGGTTCTGGTGCATCCTTGGCCTTTTCGGCGGCATTGATGCGAGCCATTTCCTCCGGATCGGGCACACCTATTATTTGGTTCAGGCCCTGGTTGACTTGCGTGGTTATGGTGCCCAGCCCCTCGGTGGCAGTGCTCAGAACAGAGCTCAGCTTGCCACCCCATAGGCCCCATGGTGACGACGTCGAGGGAGTAGCAGTTGTAGGAGACGTTGTAGTTTGCAGGGGTGCTCCTTGTTCCTCTTTTTGAGTCAACTCTCCTGTTGCTTTTGCACTGGGATTAGTTGTCTCTGGCTTTTCCTGTTTATCCTGTTGCTCCACATGCACAAACTTATCCTCGTCGTCGCCCCAATCGTCCCAGTTGTCGTCCTCATCGCTCTGGTCCCAGTCATTGCCACTTCCTTCTTCTTTTTTAGGTTTATTTGCCATTATTCGCCTTGGACTTTCTGCTCCACGTATAAATTATCAAATTATCAATATATCGATATACATTGTAGATATATTTCACAAAATTACCATTTCAATGCAATTTTTTCAAGTGAATGGTTGGTGTCTTTGCTAAACTGCCAACTTAGCCGGAAAAATGCTGAAAATTCTGGTATTATTTATCGATGAATTGGGCGGGAATTTAACGGTGGCTTTTAAAACCATAAAATTAATGTAGAACCTAATGAATATAAGATAAATTTTTATACAAAATTGTATATAAAATTTTAATTATGAAATGAATTTTTGAAAGTAAGTATAATTTAGCCTCTTTCTGCTATAATTTTTTTTCTAGAAACTTTCGATTCAAATGTATATATTCTTCAAATAAAACACACTTTTACCACGAGATATAAAACAAATTCCTTTTGCGACTATTAACCTCACTAGATAGTTTCACATGTTGGTCTTGTTCCAAGCTCATAAATAATTTTTTCAGCCTTCAAGTTCCTTTAATTGGAATTTTATGACTACTGAGGTGCCCAAAGATCCAAATAAACATACGCACACAGGACCCCCAATGAATACAAATTGAATTGATATTACTTTGTGAAATATTTAAGCTGCCAAAAACCTTAACTTCTCGGGCCTGGGCACCTGATTTTTCTGTAAACCTTTCTTTTTCCTGAGCTTTTGTTTGTTGCCCATTGTGAGATGAGTAAGAAGTTATTCCTATTTGGTATTAAATGCAAATATTATTGTTTTCCTAGCATTGTTTTGTGCTTTTGTGGGTCATTTGAACTTTGCTGGCTGTGTGAGTTGATTGAACAAAGAATTATTTGTGTTTTCATTTATGAAAATGCATATTTTCCTTGGATATTGTATGATTTTTCGGTAGGAACCTTTGCTACATTTCTCTTTAATTAAATTATCAAATAATTAAATTGGATTTTGTTTTTCGAATGTATATTCTTTGAGTTTTTACTAATTTGGAGCTGAACTAACAAGAATATTTCTTATTTTCTTGTCGCCAGAAAATGTTTTAATTATTCGTAGTTGCTTGAGTTCTCCTCTGTTCACTTATTTAAATGGAAAACCGAACTTTCTTCTTTTGTCCCACATATAACTGGGCTCATAAATTAGAAAATCACACACGCACGTCTGCAAATGAACATTCATCGGGCGAAAGCCGAAAAGTTTTCCTAGCTGAGCCAAACCAGCATATAAATTTGGTAGCAACGGTGGCATAGAGAGTAAAATTAACAAACCAACACAATTCTGTACGCCCCCAGATGCCGAGGAAAGCTGACACCCTCATCTCATCTCACTAGTCTTATCCACACACACACCTTGACATAAACAAAGAATTTTCATAAACTTGCCGAGTTTTCCCGGCGAAAAAGGCAAAACGAACCACAAGAATATTTCGTCAAGCCAGAAAATTGCGTCAAACCCAAAAAATTTATCTTTCGCTGCACAGAAAATAAAAGCAACTAGTTCTTGGCGTGTGATATGAGTTATTTTTTAATTAAAAACTTGCCAAAAAGCGAATGCCACAGCCCTCAAACCATTGAAACCGCTAAAACGTCAGTTAAGCAATGAAATACTTTCGGATGGGGCAAGGTATCCTGAAATTACCTTAAAGTGAAAGGTAACCGCCCTGAAACCGAATATTCTCGATGCTATATAGTAATTGCATGTTAGGTGTCTTGTCTGGGCCAAAAATTAAATGTAAATTTGCAAATTTGTAGGCATACTACATGTGTGTGTTTAAAGGATGTGTATACATGTATTGGCACTTGTCTAGATAGCCCGAGAGGCAGGGGAGGTGTAGCACAGTCAAGAGCAGGATATTAGGTTTCTTTAGCTATGTTTTGGGAAAAAGGATACCCTTGTCTTTATAAATATAGTAAAATCTATGTAAAATATTAGTAAAATAAGCGTTTTTTTTTTTTTTAAAAAAACAAAAGTAAACTATTATTTGTCAATCAATATATGCATTTTCGATTGAGACCTCTCGACAGGGTCCTTTGATCTCGGCCTCTGGCAAATTGATTTTGTCCTTTGTCGAATCTACTCGAAATTAAACTTGAAAATTTGTTTTAACTGAGAGTAAACTTGAAATGTGGTCCAGAGCTTGACAACAAAGATGAGGCTCTGTCATTATCATCGTCACCCATGTGGACCCATTAAAGGAGGTGCCCTCATCATCATCATCATCGACATCTTCCCAGTCTGCCAGCTGACATCCTTGCCAGGCAACTAATATCCGACGAAGAGCTATGTTCTTGTGGCTCCCAGTCCTCACCGCAGCTCTCCCGCCAGGACAACATTGTTATTGATACCTCAGCCCCGACCCCGGACAAACAGAGGAACCCTTTTGGCAAGCTCCCCCAATGCCCCAAGCACATTGTCTCAGAGATTCTCTCCCATCTCTCAGATTTTATTTCCATCCACTTGATGTAGCTTTCTGAAGAGTTCCTGACGACAATAAACCAAACTTCCAGCTGTTTATTAACATGTTTCTCTGTCAATATGTATATATTGTGCCCTATCTATAAATAAACGCAAAAGTGTATAGTATCTAATGCCAAATTGACGATCATGATGAGGGGCCGGGGGGAAGTGGTTGGTGTAAGGAGTCCCGGACCCAAGCACATATCTCTGTCCTACAAGTATCGCTTTACAAGTGGAAAAATTCCTTTAGGCCAAAGTGTGCATTAAGAAGATTGTTTTACTATTGTTGTAAGACACCCGAATGTACACATTTATTTATACATATAAATACCAACACACCCACATGAGGGCTTCAACTATATGAATATTCTATACACTGAAAAAAAAACAATATTCTAATAAAACTAAAATAAAGAAAAGGTAAGGCTTTCCTGGAAATAATCTTTGGTTTTGGAATTTTCAAACCATAAAATTAAAAATAATTTAATATATTTTTTTTCTGTGCAGCCACACGAAACTTGCCCACAGGCGAAGGCTTCATGTCCTTCCCCGTTTCGTTGCTACTTCCTGCTCCTTGACGTCCCCGCTTCCACCTTCGCTTACAACATCTACAAGAACTTCCTTGCTGTTGTCATTCCACTCAACAAAAGGATTCAAATTTCATTAAATCTCACACAAAAGTATCAAAATGCCATTGTTGTCACACACTCACACATTGCACTTCCCAGGACCTTGCCACACTCACACATATACACATTTGCGAAGTGGGGACTGGAAGGCTTGAAGTCCTTAGATATTGGTAACTGGTAACTGCTTTTACTTTGGGCCTTTTATTCGATTTACGTTTGAAGTTGGCCCACATGTGTTTTTCGCTTCGAAAATGTTTGCTGCGAAGGCGTGTCCTGATCGCTATCTCCTGTAATGGAAAACTTAATAGACAACAGAACAGAAGGCGCACAGGACTTCCCTAGACCCTAGCTTCCCCCCCACCAACTTAATGTTAATCTCGGCAATTGCACTCGTTTGATTGCCTTCCCTGTTTGCCTTCGTTAGATAATCCCCATAAAATCGGATATTATTGGCAATACTTTCGATATATGATCTGCTTAAATTGGTTTGTGGGAAATCGCACCTGTCGGTGGCATTAATATTTACTGAAGTGTAGGTAGGTGGGAAAGGTAAGCTGATTACTTTCATTCGACTTGGTGAAAGTTCCTCTTCAAACTGAGATTGGGAAATAGTTATTGGAAAGCAGTCAACTGCTTTTTGGACTTTTTTTTATATAAATAAATAAATATAAATAAATGTATTGATTTTTCAATCAAAACCAAAAGCTATCTTGTTTTAATCAAGATGTTAGCATCCTTCCTCGAGGAATTCTTCATTATGTCGTAAGAACTTTTCTATTTTGGCGGGAAACTTTCCAAATTGCTTTCACATTAAAAATCACTAATATGAGTTTTTCGCTTGATTTCAAAAAGGTCGTTATGTGGCACACTGTACACACTAATAACGCCAATGTCAGTGGCCTTCCACAAAATGTCATTAATCGTGTGGCGATCACTCTATCATTACTGTGTTTTTTTATTCGTAAATTGTTCCTTAATTCATCAGAGTTTGAAACTTTCTCTCGCCCTTTACGAGGCGTGGCTGATTGGATTAAGGATATACAAATATGTGGGCTAAGGCAAAAGCCACAAAATGATAGTCAAAAGTTGGCCACAATAAAATTGCTGTAAACAGTGTGTGGGCCGAGAAAACAAATTTTCATAAGCTTTTCTGTTCAGTCCTTTTTGGCCTGGTCTAGATAAAACCGCAAATCATTGGCCATGCCAGCCAAGGACAGATCAGCAGGAGCTGAGGTTGAGACCAGGAAAATTGACCAAAAATATTACACATACGCCATGTAAGCCGGGCTAACATGAGGCATTTTGTTTGGCATCGGAAGTTCATAATTGGGAAAATTTTATTCAAAACTGATTTGGATGTCCGGTTTAATGGCTTACCAGGCTTGGGATTGCTTTTGGTAGGAAATAAGATTAGTTTGGCCAAAGAAATCAAATTTTTGAATAGCTGAGTAACAAGTGAGAGAAAGTTATTGCATTTATGAGTGTTGGCTGATTACAGTTGATTACTTCTGTTTTCAGGGCTTAAAACTTTTTTCATATTTAAAAATGTAAAAGAGTTTAAATTTCTTGAGATGACCCATTAATCCTTAATAATTTTGTGCCTTCCACTCATTACTGCTTCGAGAACTGCCGTAAGAAATCACGTTCCAGGCCATTTCCACATGTCAGCGGGAAGAAGAAAATGATGCCACCGATGCCACGCATGCCACTAATGAGGCTCGTTAGCGTGGTCATCCAGTTTGCCTCAGATGCGGCCCCCTCAGATGCGGCCCACGGACCACCCACGCCGGCTCATCCAACGGGTAATGTATGCAACAAGCCAAATTGTACAAATGTACCAGGCAAATCGATAAAGTAATTTGGCCATAGCCGACCAACCCGGCTCCCTCTCGTCCGTCCCGCCGTCCGCGAACATTTGGCCACATAATTTTGTTTGGCGGAGCAGCACGTAGCCGATGACTGAGTGACTCGGCCAGTGTCCAGGGAGTGCAGGGTATGGACGGTACGGGGTCAGGATCCTGATGGGTTCGCCTAATTGCAGCGCCATCTTGCGGTTATGCGTTCTACGTGCGTTTGTCGCACGTCTGGCTAATTAAAATTGCATTTTTCGTACGCTTCCCCTCGGGTTATTGATATGCCATGGATATATACCCTCTTACATGCATATACATATGTGTGTCGGGGACATACATTTATGTATGTAAGTACAGTATGTTGAAGGATATTGGTTGAACGTGGCACCAGTTGGCAATATTTGGAGAGGACTTGCGAGGAATTGGATGAAGTTGAAGCTATTGTGGATAAGGATGGACTACTACTTAATTTTTACACAATACTTAAACTTTTCTAATAATTTAAAATGTGTATTTTATTTAATTTTCTAATTAAATGCCCCATAACCCTGGGCAATATTGATTTTCATCACTCAATCCTCATTGTGAAGGACCTCCCTGGAGGGCTACTCCTGTAAATCCTTTCACCATCTGCATAAAATCAATCAAACTGTGCAAAATGCTTGAACGGGTCACGAACCCTCACAGCCAAGCCCAATAGGCCTAATTAATTGATTGAAGATGTCAGCCGTGTCCTTGGTTTTGGTCATCTCCATCCTCAGTACTCCCCTCTCCATCGCTCATGGCCTGAGTGTGGCAGGGCCGCAGTTGCAACTGTCATAATATTGACTCATTGCCATTGTAATTAATGGTGTTAAGACTCGCACGCCATTTTAATGCAATCCAATTGACAGGCGGCATCCGTTTCGCGTTTACTGCATTTCCCCCATCGGAGCATCTGGGGGATATTGATTTCAATTATAATGATGTAGCACAATGGACGCTGGGCCCTCATTCTGGAACATGCCTCAAACTCTGTGTTCCTTTCCCCGTGGAGCCCTAAAGGCATGCTTACTAATTGTTCACTTTTTGGATTGGGATTCGAATACTAACGAGAAGTATGAGTTGCTTCCTGAGGTTTAAAATATAAAATATAGACAGCATCCCAAAGAAAAAAAAAAAACACACTATTCGAAATTTCTATTTAATGTAAAAATTACAAAAATCCTTTAGCACAAAGCAGACTAGAATTTAATATTGAAATGTCATTCGTTGGTTTACATTTTGAGTTAAATTAGACGGAGTCTTCAGTGCCTTTTTAATTAATCGCTGACCTCTTCCTCTTCGTCCGCCCCTTCGCTATTTTCATCGCTATTCATATCCACACTCCCAATATGTGTTTCAGGACATTGGGGCTTCGTGACAGCCAGGAGAGCTTCGTCTCCAATGTCCTGATGGCTTTTTGCCCAAAGAGTACCTCTGGCTTTTCTAGTGGAATGGGGTTGGGAGGTTGATGCTTTCCCTCGAGAAGTGTTAAGCTGCAACTCCAAGGCCTCCTTGACGCTCATCTGCGAACTGTTTTCAGACTCAGTGGACTTGGCTTTACGCTTTCCATTGAAACATTTCTGGTATGCCTTTCTCGATGTACTGGGCTCATCGTCCCGCTGATTCATTTCCCGCTGATATCGCTGGAAGAGGTTTTCGGCAAAGCTTTGCTTCTCCTCGTAAGGACCTTCTTCGCCATGGCCAGGATTGTACTTGCTTTCTGGTGGGAGTTCCTCAATGTAGAACTGCCTGTCAGGAATATCGGCGTAGGCATCACTGTCCTCCGAATCCTCGCTGTAATACGAATCCAATTCCGACTCGGAGCTCTCCGTACATTCTGTTCGCTCAGGTTTGTTGACGGAACGTGGAAGTTGCTTCTTCGTTGACTTGACCATGATGGGCTTCCTTAGAGGATCGTTTAAAATCAGAGTCTGATTGTGCTGAACTAGTTTTTTCTGCTTTATGACCGCACCGGAAGTACTTGGCGGAATTTCCGGTTCATCTTTTATCTTACGGGTGCGCTGAGGCTGGGGCTGGGGCTGTGGTTGAGCCTTGGGATTGGGAAGATCGGGATTTGGAAGATGCACCACTCTCTTTGGAATCGGCCGGTCTTCACTCTGATTCCAGACGCTCATTATTAGTTGGGCCAGAAGGGGCATATCCGGGGACTCGGGACTAATAGAGAGCTGCTTCTCTAATTCACTTCGTAAGGATATTTGGTCGCCAGTTTCCATGCGAAAGGTCTCCAGGGTGTGACGGTAGCCGAACCAACTGAAGAACTCCATGACGAGCTGATTAATTAACTTGATCAGAGCGCGATCGGTAGAGCGACCAGTAGAGCGATTGGATGAGCTGATCCCCATCAGAGGTTCTGACTTGGGCATATCCAGCTGTCCTCGCATCATTTGCAGGACCTTTACGTGCATTTCGCATCTGAGACTGGCCATGATTCCGTTCTTCTCAAAGTTGGTCTTGACGCTCTCCTCCACCATGGTCTGGAAGGCAGCCTCCACCTTATTTTCATCCGAACTCATTGTTTCAGTTTAACACGAATTTTCTAAATTCTCAAATATCTACTTGGTAAATTTTAATTATACGTTTCGGGACTTTCGAGATTTTTGTCCGTTCAATTTGAATTTAATATCAGTAGTGAAAGGGTATGAACTTATTCCGTTTTCATATTTTTTGTACCCAGCCTCCTCCGTTTCAATGTTATTGGCCTGTGGCCAGTTTTTCTTCTAATGTCTACAAAGTTTTTATGCTTTTTCTGCCATTTTGCCAAACTTACTCAACTCGTTAATCATGCAGATAACCTTGAGGTTTTCCTTGTCAGTCTGTGCATATATTAGCTCCTCATAATGCCGAACATTCTGGGTGCCTTCAAGTAGGAATTTGGGCTTCAGTGCTAAAAATTTCTTCATCTAACAATAAGTTTTTAATAACACGAAAAATATATTTTTGCCAATATTAATTTAATCTATACGAGAAATAGTAAAACGATTGGGCATTAACACTCCATCATTTTAATCTGCATAGAACTCTAGAGAATAATTTTTTTTTAGATTTTTTTGTGAAATTTGGGGGCACCCCCTTCAAAAATCTGGAAAATGCATGGAGGAACCATATGAGCCCCAGCGAAGGCCATATCTTTGTCAATTTTCATCCGATTCGTAATCGGAATACCTTAAACGATTTGTACATTAATTCTCCATCAATCTGCATCAAAATCTAGAGACAAAATATTTTTTAGATTTTCAGTCAAATTTTCTGGGGACGACTCCCTTCAAAAATCTGGAAAATGCATGGAGGAAGAATATGAGCCCCAGCGAAGGCCATATCTTTGTCAATTTTCATCCGATTCGTAGCCGGAATACCTTAAACGATTTGTACATTAATTCTCCATCAATCTGCATCAAAATCTAGAGACAAAATATTTTTTAGATTTTCAGTCAAATTTTCTGGGGACGACTCCCTTCAAAAATCTGCATGGAGGAAGAATATGAGCCCCAGCGAAGGCCATATCTTTGTCAATTTTCATCCGATTCGTAGCCGGAATACCTTAAACGATTTGTACATTAATTCTCCATCAATCTGCATCAAAATCTAGAGACAAAATATTTTTTAGATTTTCAGTCAAATTTTCTGGGGACTCCCTTCAAAAATCTGGAAAATGCATGGAGGAAGAATATGAGCCCCAGCGAAGGCCATATCTTTGTCAATTTTCATCCGATTCGGAATCGGAATACCTTAAACGATTTGTACATCAATTCTCCACCAACCTGCATCAAAATCTAGAAACAAAATATTTTTCAGATTTTTTGTCAAATTTTCTGGGGTACTCCCTTCAAAAATTTCAAAAAAGGCATGGAGGAACCATATGATCCCCGGCGAAGGCCATATCTTTGTCAATTTTCATCCGATTCGGAATCGGAATACCTTAAACGATTTGTACATCAATTCTCCATTAATCTGCATCAAAATCTAGAGACAAAATATTTTTTAGATTTTCAGTCAAATTTTCTGGGGTACCCCCATCAAAAACCTCAAAAAAGGCATGGGTGAACAATATGAGCCCCAGCGAAGGCTGCATGGCCAAGAAAAAACACAACGCCATTGGTTGTCTGGCTATATCGGCTACAAGATTTATTGTACTTAATGGAATTTAAAAGTTTGTGTGCTTGAGGAAGTTTGTTGAATGGAAAAAGACTTCCTTTTATACATATACCAGGTACCCATGACTTTGCAAAAGTGGTTGAACTTGCCGAGGTTCCCATAATATATTTAAATGCAAGAACGATAATCAGTTAAATGAATAGTTTAACAAGAACTTAAAAAAACGAGCTTGGGAAAAACTCATGTACAAAACTTCATCGGTGTCCCCTTTGGCTGGCTTGGGATTTTTTTTTTCGTTTATTTGTAGGTGCTGGAAAAAGTTTGCTCAGCAATTGAGCCAAAGAAATATTTAATAACTATTTTCTTGCAATTTTTTTCGGGGGCTTGTTGAAAAAAAGTTCGCTTTGCATTTGCTTTTAATTTTTGTAATGGAATTGTTAAGAGCGGATGGCCGGGAAGAGTGGCAGATACTGGGAGCAGCTGATTTATAGCCGGGTCAAAGTTTTTTGAGTAAAAAAAATTCATTGCTGCAAAATAGCAGCCGCGCTATGGATGTTAAAGTTTTGAGCTCAGCTCCTGCTTAAATATTTATTTCACTAATTAGCAAAAGTGTTGCCGAAAACAGAAAAAACATATCTATATATTTAGCTCAATGCTGCGCCATTTCCGGTTTATCTCTCAACTAAATTTGTTGTTGGTGTTAGTACAAAGACAAGCCAATTAAGCAAAATGGCTGCGACACATTTCCGCTGGTTGGCTGAGCCATCTTCTGGCCGTTAACTGTTGTCGGGGTATAGGGTCTTAACCTGATTTGTTCTGACCTAAAATCGGAATATGTAGTGTGTTGTTCAAAAAGAAAATCTAACTAAGTCTTAAAGGTATGCTGGAATACTATAGTTAGTATTTAAAAATATAAATATTTTAAAATCGTTATAATTTTTATAAATTTTACATAAGACTTGTAATTAATGAAACTGACTTAGCCCTTTCTTTTCATTAAAATTTGTGTTTGTTGCGATGGAAAACTATCCTCTTTTTAATACCATTCTTCAGATAATAATCAGAAACATTTTTAAAAAAAAAAAAGAGTATTTAATGTCCTGAGAACCGTTGTCCTTTTCATTATTATCATAGCCTGTATTGTTGTTATTGCTGTCACACTTTCGCAATTTGCTAATCGCATTAATTATGCGTTTCTCTCATTTGCTGCTGGGCCTCTGTTTCGGTTTCAGGCTCCCGGCTCCGGCTCCTGCCTGCCGACTTCAGGCAATGGGTCCTGATTCCGTCTCTGTTCCAGTTCCAGGTCCTGCAGGCAAAATGGCCAGCAAATTGAACAAAAGCAAACTGCAGGCAAAGAAAGTGGCGGCATTTGGGGGCCACATGGGGGCAGGACGAAAACGGAAGGACGAGGCGGCTACATTTCAAGCATAATTGCCTCTCAAGGGAATTAAATTGAGCAGAGAATTTTGTTGGCAGCGTCAGCAGCTAGAGAAGACGAAGATGGGATTTTATTCCATTAATTATCAATTAGTTTTTGAAAGTTGTTGTGCCAGATTTATTAAGTGGGCACTGGCTGGCATAACTTTTGCAATTTTCAGCGTCACTTTTCTTTACTGAATTCTATTGAATTAATTAGCAAAAGTGGTTTGCGGATACAAATTGATGGGCGTGTGTGCCGCAAATTAATCAGTAATATTGCCAAGAATGCTGCCAGGCGAATTGTAAATAAATTAGCATTATTTTTCAACTCTAAATACGTAATAAATTTTTAATGAACCATCCAAGTCAATTTTGTTCGTACTGAGCCTTGGTTGGGCGAATCAGTTTCAATTATCCTAAATTGACTGAAAATCAAAGAAATTTAATTGATTAAGAAGAAAACCTCTTGAGGATTAAATTTCATTATCTGATTTATTTTACCACCTTGTTGATTAATTGAGAAAGTCATGAATCCTTTTGGTTTATTCAAAATGTATATATTTTCATAAACAAAATTATTTGAAACTGTTGATGTGCTTTCTTATGGTTTTAATCATAGCTTCTGCTTGACCATTCGATGAATCCCGTAGGAGTCCTATGACTTCAGTAATTCCGCCACCAGGACGACCCCGATGAGCCTTGGTGGCCAAAGCAAACAAGACTCCAGCACAGGCTCCGCGCTTACCTTCCCAATTCTCAGGACTGGGATCGAGTCTAAACAAGTAAACCAATAAAATAGTAGCATTTTTATTAATTTAATTAAACTCACTTTTCCAGCATATCGAAGGCCTTGGCTGCCACCCAAAATTCCTCGCACTTGTAGCACTCGTTGGCAATTAATTGCAACAGGATGAAGGCCTCGGCATTTGTGTCCCTGGTGATGAACACATTCCAGGCCAGCTCCGGATGACCGCAGTGGATGTGACACTTGGCCAGGATCATGCAGTAAGTGTGTTGGTTCTTGATGTCCATGTCGGAAATTTGCATTAGCAACTCCTCCGCCTCCTTGTAGTACCCTGTGGCGCACTTGGCCTGGGCAAAGTTATAGTTGAAAACATCGTCGTTGACGAAGTAACTCCGAATGGAGTTCATGTAAACAAGTACTTCCTCGAACTGTTCGTAGAGGAAAAACGCAGAGGCCATGCTCTGGCGACCTGGTATGGTGTCACATTCTGTGGCCGAACTTCCCACTAAATGGAGGTTTTGCTGGGCCGTCTTGATGTGCTCTTTCTGTGGGGGATTAGATATAAGAATTGTGAATTAAATTTAAACATTTAAGGCCCTTACTGATCCTAGTTGCTGACCCAAAGCGGCGTGCACTACGCCCTTGAGAATATATTCATGCGGCGAGGTGGGCTGCAGTTCCTTCATCAAGGCATGTGCCTCCTGGATATCCCCCTGCTTCAAATAGTAAATGGCTAGATTAAGCCTAGCTTCGGGTATGATGTTCAGTAAGCCAGGCAGGACCCTCAGGGCTCCCTCGCCATTCCGGAAAACAACTAGATTGTGCCGCAGAAGATCTGCCCCGAAGGTTCCATTGTCGGCTATGTTCTTGATCTCCTGCTCCGCCACACGACCGTTAAATAGTCGGAATCGATTGCAGGCTTTCAGATTTATGGCTATGGTGCTATCGCTGTGTTGTCCAAGGTACACATCTAGCACTTCCTGGGACATGTCGTAGTAGTCGAGCTTATAGAAACACAGAGCCAAGTACACGTTGATGGCCATGTAGTCCTTGTTGTCTACGAGCACTCGCTTGTAGACGTCGATGGCCTCCTGGTAGTGGGCTCGCAAATAGTGCATCGAAGCCAGGCTCAGTTGCTGCTCCAAGCTGGACGAGTTCTGCAGCTCCTCCTGGAGGTCACTCCACTCCTCTTCGTTGCCCAATTTGTGGGCCAAGTGAAACAGGAGACGCTGCTTTAGCTGGCTGTCGGCAGCCTTCTCCATCAGCTGCTGAGCCTCCTCGTAAAGGCCCAAATAGAACATGCAGACGGCTAGGTTAAGATCCACTTTCCCATCGGGGACAGGGGCGGTTTTCTGTATGGACTTGTATTGGCCAAGAGCCTGTTGGTAGTCGCCTAGGTGAAAGTTGCAAAACGCAATCCATTGATCCACTTGCCGCTGTTTTATGGCCTGGGCACCCTCCTCCTCGTCTTCGTCGTCGTTTGCGTACTAAAGGAAGTACTAGTGCTAAAAACTAGGAATCCTTTACTTTTTCAATATCAACATACCTCCAGAAAAGCCCTGGCACCCGTGTAATCGCGCTTGATGATGAAATCCTCGAGAGAGGCCGGCACCGGAGTCTTTCTCGACTGCCTGGTGACTCCCAGGCCGCTGCCAGGACCTCCGCTGGCCGCGTTCCTCGAGCTTGCCGAGTCGGTTTTTCCACGTGAAAGTATCTGGTTGTAAAGCGCATAAGTATATCTCGGACTATCTGACAACATTTTTCAGGCGCTTGCCGCATTTCTTACCATTTTTTCTTAGCTCTTCCTTGGCCTGGGATTTTTGTTCCTTACGCCTTGCTGGCTCCTCAGTGTTTGGGCCTTGTGTTTTGAATTTTTTTCTTGGTTACGGTCGCTTGGCAACCCACATAGCGTCGATAAAGCAGTTCAGCCATGCCTCACTGCGCCCAGAAAGCGCCCCTTGGCATCTGTGTCTGTAACTGGAGCAGCAAATACAGTATCTGCTAGCTGTAACCAACTGTTGATCCGACAGGACTGCCACCCTTAAGTCCGGGGATATTATAAAATGTGTTACGGTTTTTTCCTCGCCTTTTTGTAGGTACTTTGTGGTTGCTTTTGCATCATATTTAAGAATTTAAATATTTTATAAATCTATTTTATTTGTAAATACTTACCATAAAAACCTTTGAAAATCATTTACCGAAAGCCATAAAGTAACCTGGAGAGGTTCTAGCCTGCTGAGGGTGAGAGATGCTCTTGTGTGGCAGCCTTCTGGCACGCATTGTTGACACAGTTCCACAGTGGAGATGTGCTGCTGTTGCATTTCCATTTTGCCATTTGCTTTATTTATAAGACGCACCCGAATCATAAATATGCAGGCAGCCTCAAGCGAGATATGCATGCGTCAATCCGGGCGCCTTTCCTGGGCAACGAGTGTGTGCAATTCTTTGGGATACGAGAGTATTTTTCCTCTGCCTTGCTGACACAGCATAATGGCCAACACGCACACCCGTACTGTGTGTATCGGTGATAGACGTGAGTCAGGAATTTTTGTTATTCCATGGGAAATTCGTACGCCATCAAATGGAAAAATAAGTGCAAAACAAAAACAATCTAGGATGCATATTGTCAGTTTGAATTTGAACAACTTTAATATTAAGGTGGGGGGATCTATTCGGCCATAAAGCATAATGCCTACCAGAACTTCCTTAACTTTGCAGCCGCAAGTACCGCTCACTAAACCCAAAAACGGAAACCGAAACAAATTGAATATAAAAGTGCAGATAAAAGATGAACAACAATCTGTTTGCCGCCTAAAATAAAACAAACGGCAACAGCCAGGCAAACAAATTTACTTTCAAGTTGAAGCATATTTGCTGTCCTTTCTACATCCTCCACATACATACCTATATATCTATTTCCATCTGCTGGCTGGTTTTTGGACTCATTCGTCGAGCGCGCCTTTGTTTATTCTACACTTTATTGCGCTTTTGCAATTCCGCGTTTCCGTTTCCCGTCAAATCAGCCATAAAAAACGTAAAGTAAAGGAACGATGTGGAATGGAAATCTGGGAGTCAAGACCCCGCCCAGCTTGATGGCTTGGTGCTGGGTCTTGGGTACTGGGTCCTGGTTCCTGCTCCTTGAAGGCGCCTATTACATTTCGCAGTCGAATAAACAATGCCAACATCATTTGCACCTCCTTCATTATGGGCTTGGCTCGTTATTTGTCAAACAAATAAACAGCAGGCAATGGATGATGTCGGGATCCTGACAGGCTTGGTCGTGGCCTGGGCCGGGGTGGCTGTTGGAAGAAAACAGTCACTGTTTCTGTTACGTGCAATTGTCTCTCGCCCGGGCCCATGATTTTCCATCATTATCATGGAGAGCTGTTCGTTTTTACAATTTCTTTTTTTTTTGTCGTTCCATGGCCTTTCCTCTGCGACAATTTATTGTCATCTTCTCCTTCACGCTGAGTGTCGCCTGCTCGTTTTGTGTTGTTTATACACTTTAGTATTTGCATTGCCTTCTGTTCTCCGGCTTGGGTTTATTTTTTTTGCTTTTCGGACTGGATTTTTCCCAAGAAAATTTCGAACTTGCGAAATGAAGTGCAAAATTCAAACGGAAATTGAAATGGCAATGACAGAGTCGACTTGAGTTGAGTTTACTTCTCCCTTTCGCTCCTTCGATTTATTTATACTTTGGGTTTTTCTTTTTATTCATTTTTTTTCTGTATAGAAAGGCCTGGACTTTGGGCTTCATCCTTGGATCCTGGGGCACATGTTGCCTGCAGTTGCATATAAAAATATTTCCTCAAAATGAAGTTGAGAAAATGGCGATTTTCTCAAGCGTAAACTAAACACTAGAAATGCGAAAATAAATAAAAATGGACATCTTGGCGAATTTATTGGTCATGATGGGGACGATGATGGTGGTGCTGCTTGAGTTTCGGGTTTAGCACACAAATGTTGAATGCCACTGAAGCATGCATAATAATGGGGCACTGAACTTTAACGATTTCAAATTGGGTTCTCCGGTCAGGGGTCAACAAGCAGAATGTGCTTCAACTTTAGCAGATTATTTCGCCAAAAACATATACTTCTTTTAGGTTTAATATCCATAGTATTCTGTGACCAACACTTTCGCTGACCAATATCAATTCGTTAGTCAGTTTGCCAAAAGATACATATGTATATGGAAAGAAATCAGACAACTGTTGTTTCCAATTAGAGGCAAATAACAAAATTGTTTGGCGGTCCAAAAATTTCCACCAAAACCCAGCTTTTTCAAATTTGTTTAGAGCTCCCATCGGCGGCGAGAGCTGCTCTTCATTTTTGTGGCAATTGCATTATTGGTGAATGTGTGAAATGTTTTTCCCCCTACGTAGCTACATACGTGGGGATTTTGTGGGTGAACCTCCACACGATTTGGCGCATTTACATATTTTAATTAAAACATAAATTTTGTATTTTAGTCAGTCATCTGAATATCGGATGTGTGCGAAAGCCGGAGAGCATTTTTGACGCAATTGATTAGAGATGTCAGGAAAAGTTAACCGTGATTTGAATGTGATTTATTAAAGGGTATATATTGGAAATAGTTTTTTTTATTTAATAGATTTATTATTATTATGAAAACTCCAGTTAATCATTTAGTAATCATTTAAAAATAATAACTATTTTGAGATTTAAAATGAGAATTTTTTAAATAAGTACTACCAGAACATTATTTTCCTATAAAAAATATTTTTTATTTATCTTTTTATTCAATTTTTTTTTGCAAACTATGTGTATTTTTTTTTGCAAACTATGTGTATGTCTTTTCATCTTGGTGTCTCATCTCTTGAGATGTTCGATGCCTTGTCATGCCTTTGGTTATTTTAATAAATTTTTAACAACCTCACGCACATCACAGTTCTTTCTACACACCCCCATATACAGTCTCACATATGGAAGTGTATCCGAACAGGCCATAGCTTACTACTAGCTATCTACTAAATATTTAAACGCAGCGTCAGATCGTAAAAGCAAAATGTATGCAAAGTGCATGTCGGGCAGCTATCGAGGTGAGTTGTAAAAAAACAGAGGCGAGTAATAGCAAAAATAAGGAGGAAAAAAGGCAACACGCTGGAAAAAGGCAGGACTTGAGGTAAATAAAAACAGACAGGCAGGGAGCCATCTAACAATATTGAATAAAGTTACTACCTGGCGGTCTGTTACGCCTCATCGTCTAAACTATGTATATGTATTACACGTATAGTATATATTTTTTGCCCTGAGGTGAAAAGCCGTCGACATGATTTTCCTCACCCTCATTCTCCTTTAATAGTGTTTTCTGGGCCAGTGAGTCCAATATAAACACAAATACGCAAATATTTTTGCTTACTTTCTTGAAATAAAATTAATTTTGAAATATGTTTGTGGATGCCTCTTAATAGTTACACAGTAACAGACCCTAAAAGTGTCCTTTAAATGCATCCTCTTGATTTTAAATTTCCACAGAAATTTTGAAATAAACGCTTATCGGCGTGGCAGACTTGCAGCCCAAAGTTACGCATCGATGGCAATACAAACACACGGCACATGCCACGCCATGCCAGAGACACAAAATTTCTTAATTTCTGCCAGGCAGTGCCAGGGAGTAAAATCCTGTCACCCTACTCGAACAACCTGCCCCTACAACCATGCCAAATAAAAACAGTATAGTGCCAAAGCCGCAATGTGTCTGGCTGTAGGGTCTCTGGGCCGTGTTTCTGCCAAAGTCGAACATATATGGCCGTCATGTCTTGCTCTCTATGCGACCACGCCCACACAATCAGGCGCCCATTTATGCACTAATTAAAATTTTATCGTTAAATCTTGTTTGCATGCATTGCTACAAGCAGGCGAGGCAAGCTTCCTGCATCCAGGATCCTGCCACTGCACTCCAGCACTCCGCCAAATCCTCCTGCTCCTGCTCCTTCTTCGGCCACCGGCTGCCCCACCAAAAATGTATGCAATGCGAACATTTTTCGTTGAAAATGTTTGGCAACAGTTATTTGCACTTCCCGGTTCCCGACTACCGAATCCCGATTCCCGAATACCAACCATGCCCATTTCGAGAGGCTGGAGAGGCGGTTGGCCAAGAGGACCGGAGGATTTTCATTGCGTTTAATACTCGGCTCAAGCACTTTCATACTTTATTTGGCGCAACTCTCAGCCAAATCCGAGTGCCTCGCCATAAGTGCCTGCCCGTATCATGCAATGCACGGCGGGAAACCATCACGAAAATTGGTATCTGTACTCCAAAAAATGCTTTTGATGGTTGTGCTTTTTAATATTTTATATAAAAAACTATAGCAACACTAAAAAATTCAGCTTTTTCAGCTTTCATTTGAAATGCTTAATGAAAAGTCAATAAATAGTATGGCATTTAATGCTAAAAAAAATTTTATCTTATTAAAAAACTGTTAACATTAAAACTGTGAACGCCATGATTTGATTTACAAAAAAATCTATATAGTGATTTTATTTATTTCTAGTGATTATTTCTAGACTTTATTTCTATATTGTGAGTTAAACAGCAGCTCTTTTCACGAGTTAAAGGGTGTTATTTAATAATTTTCATATTATTAATGCACTCACAAAAACGTAAATATATAATAACAATACGTCCTTTCTCCCTTAGGTCCCTGCCAAGAAAACACGGCTCGTGTTTAGGCTCATGCCTATGAAGTTACTCCAAGGACCTGAACACGGGTTATGTTATAAAAACATTTAACAAATGTTTTTTTTTAATCTTCAACAAAAAAATGTAACCCAACTCTTATCTGAAAATGTAGACCTCGCTCTGTTTGGCGAATAACAATTTCCAATCAGTGTGTCTGCCATATTGTGAAGCATTTTTCAAATTACACCTAATTTTGTGCGCACTCAACGACTCAAATAAAATCCAAATTGAATTTCCGAATGTGGAAACCAAAATCCAAAAAGTCACACAACTTTTTCCTCCGATGCTGCTGCCGTTTTGTCAACTTTTTTAATTTAATCTATACAGTGCGTATGCGTAATTTTTGTGGCTTTAAGCGGCAGCTGCTGTCGTTGCTACACACGCGTATACTGTGCCTGGGTGCTGTGCCTTTGGGGGTGTGAGTGCGGTTAGGAATGGAAAAGAAGCAAAAAATTTAATTAAAACGTTGCATAAATGAAATTCAAATTTGAAACTGCATGCAAAATGAATAATTGAATGGACCATGGTAGTTGACTAGCTGCGACTGATGTTTTAGTTAATTTTTGTCAGCGTGTCGGGGTCTTTCAGTTAGAAACGCCTCCCACAGCATTCACTCGAAACGCTTGACCAACATAGTTTTTAAAAAACTACTTTTATTTAAAACAATTTTTATAAGTGTTTCCCCTGATTTTTTATTATTTAAAATATGTTTCTTTTTCAGACCATATTTCTGGTATTCACTGTACATGTAAGTGACAACCTACTACCGAATTTTCAGTCTGCAAACAAATCAACCGCAAAACAAATTACTAATTTAATTTTCATTGTATTCAGTTGAATATTACAGGTTTATTTGTTTTTCCTTTTTTATCGGCCTTTGACTGGAGATAAAATTCACTGAAATAATTGTGCATTTCGATGTAAAGTTGGCTTTGTTGTTTTATAAATCTTCTTTATTGCCGGTCGCAATTGTCCCAGAGATGAGTTTTTTGATTTTATGGGCCTTGGAGCTAAGCACTGTTGAGTCCATAAAGGCAAAATCAAAATGCATAAAAAATATGTGGCCAAAAAGACTTTTAAATACTTTTATAAAATTTATAAGTGTGTGGATACATATCTATAAAAAGCATTTTTAAATTCCATTCCCTTCAAAAACTAATAATAAATATAAAAATCTACATTAAGGTAAAAATTTCTTTGGCAAGTGTATAAAAAGTATAAGCCAACTTATTTATTACCTTTGTTTAGACTTTATATGACACTACAAGGCCTGCACTGATGGCACTTGAGCGAACGGCATTAGCATTGTCCTGGCTGTCTCCGTATCCTTGCAAGCTCCCTATCACCATCTCTTTCACCCGATTCGCTCCATCTTTGTCTGTCTTTGTTAGTCCTTGCTGCAAGTCTGAGAAAGTTTCTTATCGCGACAGAATGTTATTTTTTTCTCTCGCCGGGCTTACTTTTCGCTTGATTTGTTTTCGCTAGTTGTGTGAGAGAATTCTGCTTTATTCCATGGAAATTTTGACTTTTCTTGTGTTCCATTAACTTTCCGCCATAAGTGGGTATGTGAAGAGAGACTAGACTCAGTCAGCCAAAAATATTGGAGCTCCCCTTCTGGGAAGTTAATTTCCCACAACTTTGCATTTCTCAATTTGTGAGATATTCAGGGACTTGTAAACGTTGAAATAAAAGTCTTTGATAAGTAAAAATAAATAAATTTAAAAAAGATTAAAATTTCTATATAGCTAAGCATTTTATTATTCAATAATAAGAAAAATAAAATAATCCAACAAATTTTCTGTGATAATCATGTGTGAAAGAAAATCTAACTTTGTGTCTTACGACATGGTTCACAATCTAAGGTGCAACAAGCGAGGACCCAGAATGGCCAGTATTAATCTTTATATTCTGGAATCTATATAACCTAATTTTGTTATCACTTATTAGAGGCACGATATGAAACCGAAGAAATACTGGCCCGGAGCGAGGTTCATGTGTGTTACCAAGAACGGAGATCTGAATACGGCGGCTTACTGCTTGGCGGAGGCCATGCACGAACCGTTTCAACCATTTCCAATGGCCACGGTGGCGGTTCAGAGCTGCATACGGGAGGATTTCATTGGCCGGGTGAGAAGTCGCTTCCGGCAGGTGAAGCCCCACGTGGCCAACCATCCGAACTTCGAGCGATCTCTCGCGGCCTTGAAACACGGTCCTCACCCCGTCAGCTATGTGCTGGCCGATGAGGCTGATGCCCCACCTTGTGCCAGTCCCATTTTGGTTACCGATACGATCACCCATCTGTATTTTCCCAGCGGCGCTTCGGGAGTCACCACATTGCACTCGTTCAACACCATGGATGATGTGGCGGAGATTTTCGCATTCGAGACCCCGAAATTTGATGCCATTTACTTTTTCGACGAGGGCGTCAAGGACATCTATAGACTAGCGCCCTTTGTCAAGTGCACCCATTTTTTTGTCAACTGCATGGATGCCTGCCTGTTGGAGATTATGCCGTACTTCTTGGACAAAAAGTCCATGGTTCTGTTCAAACGGGGCTACCACTACGAGTGCCTCGAGATGGGTGGCCAATGGAAAATAATCGTGTTTCCCTATAGCTCCACCATCTTGCGATCATGTTGCTGCCCCACCGGCCATTGTCGGTGCTACTTCACCCGCGATTCCTGCTGCGAGAACCACTTGAATATATAGTGGAGAAACGGAGATAGTTTCGGCCAGCCTCACACCCGTAGGATATTTATTTGGCGATAATTTCGACTGGGAACTCCATCTTGGCAAACGAAAACTGAAGATGCGACTTCCTCCGTCTGGAGTCGCCCCAGAAATCCGCAGTTCCAATGAGTAGTTTGCGACTGGCAACACATGTGAGCCATAATTTTCGCGGCAGTTGCTTTTGGATTGCAAGTAAAGTACTTCATGGCTAAAGGAACTTATTTGTTTAAAATATAAAAATAAAAAAAATATATTTGCAAATAAAACCAAAATTAGTTGGATTTAGGAGTGGAATGTAGTCTAAAATTATATACATATGAGCTTTGTATTTCCATGCGAGTCTCGTCTGTACTTTGGGCCATAATAATTTTGGCTGTATTTATCAAGCCGTGTCCTCCCTCCCTTCCCAGAAGTCCTCGGCTTGGGCCAACCGCTTGCAGGATGTCGCCGACTGTTGGCTTTTAATAAAACTTGCACAGAGCAGCCGCCAAGTATTTGCCTTGGCCTTGCCGAAAAAGAACTTTGGTAAGTCTGTGGATCTGTGGGTAGTGTGGATTGACAGAGGGGAAGACTGAACTCCTAAAACCGACACAAGTCTGGCAGCCATTAGTTGCGGCTGCTGATGCGGCAGCTTGTCGCCAAGGCATTGACTTCTTTCGTTCACCGCCGCAGTTGTTGGGCTTTTATGTGCCAACTTGTTAATGAGTTTGCCGGGGAAGTGAGTGATTCTACAAAGGGATGGGTAGTCTTGTCTCCAGCCACCTCTGCCAGCCGAATACCATTCTCATTTTGATGGCTGACAGGCCTAGGCTGCACTTACTTACCTTCAGACATTTGGCATTGAAACGACGAACCCAACTGCAATCACCGGCAGTTGCCGGCTTTTTCTCCTTTTTCTGCACTTATTCCTCCTGGAAGGTCCTTCCATCTGGCGCATTCTTCCATCCGTCTGGCTGAGTGACTGTTTATTTGTCAGTGCTGTCTGCCATTTTGATTTTCAGTCTGACATATTTTGGCCGCACTTCAGCATTTTGATGTTCGTTGGCCATGAAAAATTGCAATGGAAAAATGATGTTGCACATTAATATTTTACCTCTGAAAGGGGTTTCTCCTCTTTACTTGCACAAGTGCACAAAAATGCGACAAAGTGAATCAGATTGTGAAGATTGTGAAGTTATTTGCAAAATATGAAATTGACTTTTTGAATTTCAAAGCATTTTTCGAGAGCACATTTAAATTAAATTATTTCTGGCAATGTAAATATTGTTTCAAAAGGGCTCGGGCTTCAACGCCTTTGGGGCCAAGCTCAGTAGTCACATGTGAAATGTACAAACGAATAACAAGGTGTCCATTATGTTTATAAAATTGCTCGACAATCACCGGCAACCGCTGCCAGCATAAAAACCGAAACAAAACAGAGCAATTTCGACCAAATGTCTCTGAAACTGACCGCAACAATTTGAAAAACATTACCCATACGCCGCGTATGACATGGCAAAGCAAAGCTCATGGGTGGCCCAGAAAAAAAGGGGCAAACGCAGGGCGGGAATGGGTCTGGAAACCGACTCGACCAACGGAGGACAGTGTATTTTCAACACCTGCTGGTCAAACAAATCGTGTTCATTTCGGTACAAACACTAATTTCGACAAGGTGCAAACAAGCTGACGACTGGTTGGTGGGTGGGTGGAAAAGGTGTCTATTGAAGTGGAGGTCCAAGGGTGGAGCTTGGGGACACTAGCCCGAACAGGAACATGCTCGAAACACAAACACAATGGAGGAAATTCCCATACATCGGGGGAGAACGGAGGAGACCAGATAGACACATGGATGTCACGTGCACGGACTACTGCCATTTTCCTGTACAGGAACAAAAAAAAATATATCGTTTTTTTTTATCTAGAAAATTTATATTTATTTCAAGATGCTGTGAAAATAATTTCAAATAAAACAATTCACATCTGCAAGTGATGACTGAGGTGTTAGATTGCATAAATTTATGTGCTTCAATTGAATTTATTTATTGGTTTTAGAAATATATCAATAACAAAAAAATATCAAAGAATTTATTCCAATAAATAAATAAATGAAATAAACTAATATAGTGTTCTAGTTTGAGCTCATTGTGTTTATATTAATTAATAAAAATCTTGACTTTTAAGCTAATTAAAATATGACAGTTCCTCATTGCTTAATTTTTATATAATTTATGAAAAACTCATGTATTTTTTATTGTGTAGCCAACTTCAGAGTCAAAGCCCGGAGTTTGGAGTCTGCGTTTTCGGACTGGGCCTGGCGTCGACAGATAAAATGCTTTTTTGTGAAAAATGTAAAATTGCATTTGTAACCGCATTTCATTAGAGGAAGAAAGTCAACCGTCAGGTAGCAGACAACGCACGTTTCTCCGTCAGTTGGAGTCCGGAGTAAGCCCGGCGGGGGAATAGTTGGTAAAATAGCAACAAAGTTCGCATCCGTGCCGGCGATACGAGCATCGTCACGGTCAATGGTGAAAACAAGCAGACAAAACTTGGCCCACACAGTCGCATAGTCAGGCGAACGGAAAGCAAACTATTTCAAAAGAGGGTGTGGAAATAGTGGGTATTCGTGGTAAGCGGGAATGCAAAACGGGTTTGCATTTTGCCATTTTGGCTGCCAGGGCCAGGACATAAACATGGATTCTGTCTGGCTTGCAGTCTGTGTCCCGTATCTCTATCGGAATCTGTTCCTGCCCCACTCATTGTCTGCTGTTTAGGCCTTTTAAATGTCCTTCCTGAAATGGTGATGGGGAAGTTGGTATCGATACGCGGCACTGCAGTGGGACTCTTACGTTAAGAGATTTTTGATGTTTATTCAAATTGGATACGAAAGTATTTTAATCGATTAACAAAATTTAAATCATGTAAAACTACACAACTTTAGCAGTGTATCGAGAGCTTCTATTTTAGGAGGTCTTCATTTAATATGTCACCGGTGAAGTTTGCTAGCAAAGCTACGATTTTCGGCATCTCCCTGAGACCTTCTTTCACTTCGGTGAAGGTGACAAAGCGGTAGAAGAGAAGGAACCCCACCACTATGAAGGTGGGAAGGGCTATGGCCACCATTATTCTTGCCACAAAGAGTATAGTGTAGAAACATAATACCATAACAAATATTGTAGCTATGATACGACACATATCTCCATTTACAAGTGGCGTTGATTGTAGGAAGTCGTCCAGAAGTTTGGCGATTGGATTGGTAAAGTTCCTGGGAACACTGCTATTTTCCATTTTCAGATATTTACAAAAATTTAACAAGGATTTGGTTGTCTGTAGCGTTTCCGGTATTCAAATACTAATAAAGCAATACCTACTACTGTGAAAAAATCCCTCAATACAATATGAATAATTCTTTGTTTATTCAATTGCTTTAGGAAACGAAACACTAGGAACATAAACCCAAAATGGCCAGCTGTGAAATCTAAATGGCGCACTTGATGTCAACGGCAGCATTCCTGCCCGAGACCGCTGCCGAACAGTGTCCTGACAACTTGACAAATGAATGATCGGGCCGCAGTCTCAGCGCCGCAGAGCGGCCAACCTCAGGCACCAGACAACGGACAGGACAACGGACCGAGGACAGTGGACCTCGGACAGGACATCCGACAACGGCTAGAGGATATCGGACAGGGGCGCATGACGGTCCTGACGCGTCGACAAACCGCAAAAAGCGAAACGGCAATCGACCGACAACAGCAAAAACTACCTATAATAAAAACAACAAAGGGTAAAAATGAACCCGACAATTTCTGCGTCGCCACCAGGACTCCGCCATTCCAACAGTCATGAAAAGCACCGATTACCGATCTGCCGGACGGCCCAGAAGGACGAGGGCTGCAAGTCCTTTGCAGTTCGTCTGCCATTTGCTGGTCGGTCGGCTGGTGTCTGTGCATAAATTCCATCATATGATATCAATTAGTGATAGTGCGGTGCGACTGAAATGTCATTTGCAAAAATGCGCATATTTTAAAAGTGACACACGCACACACAGTCAGGACCTCTCCTTAGCTCCTGCCAGCCGCCATACCCCATCCGTCGTTCGCCGTCCGCCATCAGCCTATCATCCATCCATGATATGTCGCTAACGGAGCGGGAGTAACATTTCTCTATTTTTCAGGAAGAGTATGTTTAATGGTGGAAGGATTTTGGTTATATAAGGATATGTTCTCAATTGATAATTGAGATTAAATGTTAAAATATATCATTGAACTTTTATGTTTTCCATTCTTATAACCATTGACCTGTTACGGATGAAAAAATAGAGCATTCACCTGTCGCCTAATCTGAACCATAATTGACTCGATTTTAACCATGGTTCTTTTTTGTTTCCATCGTCGAGACCATAAAAACCAAACAGAAAATGGCCAAACGAACGAAACCTGGTCCATGCCCGCTGCTTGGTCAGCCACATAAAAATCAGCTCGCCCGCATCAAGTGCCTGGCAACAATGGGTGGCATATGAATATGCAACCAGGCCGGGTTCGGGAGCCAGGAGCCGGAAAAAGAACTGGGCCTGCAACCGATATGCATGCAGGTGCAATCTCAAACAGAACTTACCGCAGATGGATGGACGCTGGGGGCGGGGTGTCGCTGGAGAGGAAGACGTGTGTGTCAACCAGAATCCTGAAAACCGAGATGGCCAAGGCCAATAAAATTGCAGCCAAGTGATGCAAAAACGACGATTTGGTTTTTTCGCCGACACCCAGGAAAACACAAATTGCATTTTCAGTTTTTTTATCTTTTGCTTCCAACTCACTCGACCGAGACCTTTTGGGGAAATTTAATTTGGTTTTTATTTGGGAAGAAGAGTGCATTTATTGTTGGCTTATTGGCGACCAGCAATGGTAAATTAAGGCCAGCACACAAATGTGAAAATTCGGGAAATGGCCAATGGTTGTTGTTTGGGCTTTTGACATTTTTGCGGCCGAATGGAAATATTTCGGCGGCAAGTGAACTCTGACTCTGACAGAGTGGATGAGCCAAACTTGAAATTGCTTTTACCGGATTCCTGTGGCTTATGTCTGGTTTCCGTATTTTAAGTGGATTAAATTATCACTTTATTTAATGACTGACAGTTGTTAAAAAAACAGCTTACATCATATTTTTCTTTAGATTTTATTAATTTTAATAATGTTAATTTTGAAAATATCTTATACATAATTATATTACCAATTTAATCTCCAGATATAAAACTCACAAAAGTGATTGATGAAAAGTTAGCCGTGTAAAATAAGAAAGTATCTTCACAGGTCCTTAGAAACGTTGTCGTCAAGAGACTTTACAATTGATTCGCGAAGCAGATCTTTTATAACAATCAAGCTAAAGTTAAGCACTCCGTTTAGCTCCTTGAATCCTTCTGCCACCTCGATGAAGGTAATTATGCGTAATATCAGAAGGAATCCAACCACAATCAAAGTGGGCACAGTAATAGCCACTAGGAAGCGAACCGCAAAGAGCAGGACATAGCTCATTGCTATCAAGGTCAGAACAATGGCTATGAAGCGGCCAATATCAGTGGCCTTCAGCCCGGCCGACTGTATCAACTCCTCCAGGAGGTCAAAGGGCGGAATCATAAAAATACTAGGAGTGCAGTCATCCACCATTTTGTAGAGTTTTCTATTTTTTAATCTGGGGGTTTTCTTGCCGAAATTGCTCTGAGAATTTGTTGTGTGCTTAAAAAAATTTCAAAAATATCTGCCTTGTTAGAACTATGTATCTTAAACCAAATAAATACTGGCATACTTTTTATATTTTACTTAAATTACATTAAATGTTACTCGTATTCAAAAAAACTGGTAGCTGACGCCAAATAGCTTTAAGTAGCCTCTTTTACTGACCTTCGACCTTTGAAACCCTCTTGATGTTCCATGACCTGAAATTATACTCAGACTCCCGGTTTTTAGCCTCTTTAGAATTTTGAATTGGTGCAATTGACCTCGGATTCTTCGAAAAAAACATTATTTTTTGTTGGGAATTTGTATACATTTTTCTTCATTTTTATTACTCTTCTGATTTTTTTTTGTGAAAAGCTGGGGAATTGTGAGGCTCAAAGTTGAACTTATTTTTGGGCTGGATTTTTATGGCTTATAGAGATGGGAGCATTTTAGGGCAGGCAGGTGAAAATATTAAAAATATAAATATAAAAACTTTTTTTCAATAATGGATTATTTTATTAATATACACTATGCCATCTCAATTTGACATTTATTGGAAAAACCCTCACTAAACATAAAAACTCCGAGTCCATTTAAAATTTTGAACCTGTGTTTTGCAGTTGACATTTGTGTGGTCGAGTTTTCAATTGATTTATTTCTTTTCGGCGAAATGTGAGAAATTAATCAGCCATGGCTAAGGGCCAATGCCACTTGCCAATGGTTTAATGGCGACACCTTGCCAATGCCTTGCTTCCATTCAAATCTCAATCAAATGGCAATAAAATTGAAATTAACTTGCCACAAAGGCATAAATGCTTTGGCTCCCTCTCGCTGTGACATAAACTTAATTTGCAGCAAAAATACAAAAAAAATTCAAAAGAGAAAAAAATGCTTGGGAAAAAATGTTGGCTGATTGCTCAAGGGGCAGAGGTGGGGAGGTGGCTACCCATTGGGAGGTGTATACCCATTGCGGTGTTGGCTGGAAGACTTTAAGCCACAGGTAGAAGCAAAACAGTTGATGAAGTTTTCGTTCAAAGAAGCAAAAGCAAGAGCAAAAAAAAAAAAATAGAAATGAACGAAAGAAAATCCAGAGGAAAAAATTGAAACTACCACACACCAAACGAAATAAATTGAAAATCGAGTGAGCAGCACACACACACACAGCTACATATATGCCAGGGTTGTCAACTGCATGGAAAACTCTCGCACCCATACAAGGACAACACAACAGGAAATATCAAAACTCCTGGCATTGCGGGGGCAGGGGCACAAAAATAAGAAACAAAGAAAAAAGGAAGAGCAGCAAATAAAAGACAAATCTAAGCTTTGGCATTCCTTTTGCTTAACAGCAAAAGTTTTTCCATTATTTGAAGATTATAGACTCTAAAAATTTCCCAACCCAAACCCCCAAAAAAACTTGACAAGATATGAGGGTAGAGGGGCGGATGTATATGGGTGGATGTCCTTCCTCATCCTGCCACCTAGAACCTTTTCCGCATCATTGTTGCTGATGATGACGTAGCTGAAAATGTTCCACACTTTTATGACAGCCACCGATAAGAAGTGAGGCGAGGAAAGCAGATATCTCGAGAGTAAAAAAAGAAATGCCAAACTTTTCCAGCAATGCATACGTATTGCTTTGTTTTAGTCTTATCCTGCCAAGGACCCTCTCCCCCCTCCCCACTTCTCTCACATTTATGTCCTTGTCAAACGCCAATGACTGTTGGTAGCTGCATATGCTGATTATTATTGTCTTTGTTGTAGTTTTCTGCTCTGAATTGATTCAATGAGCTTTATCATTGGCATGTGGAAGCTTGGCCAACAATTGTGGTATTTGTTGTTTTTATTTTTTTTTGTATACAGGTGAAAAAATAAAAATTAATTGGCATGAGGGCAGTAAAGATAGCATTAACATAAAATGGCGAATAACTAAAATAAGTAGAAAGCTAAATAGGTGTATTATTATGATAATTAATGGAGAAGGAATACTATACCATATTCAGGTACGAATAAAATAAAGTATTATAAAAAAAGCTTTATAAATTTAACATAAATACAAGCATTTTTTTTAACTTAATTTATAAAGATCCGAATGTTTCGGGCATGTTTTATAACCAAAGGAAACTTCAGGCATTATATCTTCCTTTTTAGTAAGAAAATATGTTACAAAAATAGCTTATTATAGCTTAGATATTCTTGCTTTTTCGCCACTTTTTCCTAAAAATTAATGGCTCAGTGTAATCTTTATAGAATATTTATGATGCTGTCGTGTTCTCAGTTGGGTCTATGCTCTTTTGCTTATTTTCACTTGCCAGTCCCAATCAATAAATTCATAGAAATACAGCAAAATAATTCCACAGACACTCACTCACTCACTCCCACGTGAAGTGAAAAGAATATTGCAAAGTACATTTAGATGCATGCCTGAGGTATGTAGATGCAAAAACACCTTTCGCCCACAAAGCAATATCGGAATCGGAAAAGCCAGTAGTAGTAGTACACTGGCCACTACTATACATTCTCAAACAATTGCAAATTCAAAACGACTGTGGCAACTGTCAGACAACAATTGGTGGAGCGGGTTACACAATGTGAAGGAAACTTTTCCGGCCACTGAAATATGCAAATTCAAAAGTTTTCAGGCCAAATCAAGCGGACCAAGGGACCGA